TGGGGAAAAATCTGTTCAACCTGCTTTAGGATTGGGAGAGACAGAAATCATAAAAATTTTGAATGTAGTGATATATATACAGTGAGAGAGAAATCCCAAGCATTTGACACAATCATTACCAAACAGTACTAGTGAAAAGCTTGTTTCATCAAGATTAAAAGTGTAAATGTTGTTATGTATGCAATTACTCCTAAAAATTATGATTGACATGGTAGGAAGGCAATTAGGTTCACAGAAGAAAAGAATGTTTGGGCTGAATTAATCTGAGAAAGTATTTCAAATAACTGAAGGAACAGTTAAGCTGCTTTAGGCTGCAATTATCTTAGTTTTAATTAGCTAAGTCTCAAAATTTTTCAATGAACTGTGAGAATGGGAGATATAGACCAGATTATCAGTACATAATAAAATGCCAATTTTCCTGCCATCTTACTTCTTATTTTTCTAGAAACAGGACTAAAATATAAGTTTTAATTCTCAATGTGTTAGTAGCTAGAGCCTCTACACCTTGTTTTAATGTTGATTTACAAGCTAGCAAATGTCAGAGGTAACATAGCAGTCAAGAATTTAACAGCCAAGAGTTGAATATACTATTAGTTCCAGCCTCTACTGTTCAACCTAATGAGCCAGATTTTAAAAACTTGGGTTTTTACCACAAAAGAGATTGTGCATGAAATGCATTAACCAAAGGGAAAAAAACCCCACACTGTCTTGCAAAACAGCATTTACACACAAATATAATACGCATACAAGCAGGTGCTTGGCTTGGAACAGATATGGTGTCAGTTTTCAACAGCATAGTGACTGTCTTGAAATTAATAGGTGGAAGTTAAAGGCAAGATTAGAATCAGAGCTCTTTTCCAGCCAAGCCAAGTTTGACACTTAAGTTGAGAAAGCGGCTCCTCTCCTCATAGAAGACGTCTTTTCTGCATTAACATAGCATTGCAGTCTAACTCTGAAGCTACTGTTTCATAGCTATGAAATTAAGCAGAACAATTGTAAAATTGTGGGGCTTGTGCTCCAGGTGCTCAGGCATAGTCAACCAAGGAATGCACACATGCTTGCAGACAAATCACAGCATGGTCCTTGTCTACCCAGGCAAATATCGTATGAGAGGCTATACAGAGGTATGCATATAGTTTTTAAATCTACCCGTCTTCAAAAATTAATTTCAAGGAAAGTCTTTCAGAATTGGTTCAGGTATTTTTCTTCTCTCCTTGTTCTGTTGGCTGCCTAATAGTATATATACCCACAGCATTTGCAATGTCTGTTATGCTTTTCTACAAAGGCATTGGCAAGTGATAAAAACTAATGAGCAGGCAAATTGGTTGTTCTTACATAGATACACCATTCAAGAAACACCATGTAATGGAGTGACAGTGAGTATATTTCAGTGGAATTTACAGATGAGAGGTTTGTGCTTACAACCACTTCCCTCCAGACTCTGAGGTGGATACACAACAAAGTTCAAAGTCCATGGCTAAATTTGATTTCTATATAATCACTCCTTCACCCCAAAAGGCTCCTCCACTCCACTAAGAGCATGCACTTGGACTTTGTACCTCTGACCCATCTTCATGAATAGAAAGCAAATTCATAATTACATGACTGGGTTTTCTGGAATAAAAATCTCCATAACTTTTATTTTTGATATGTCACTTTACCCTTACTCTTTCCAGAATTTGGAGAATGAGATAAACAGTCGGGATGCTTTGACCAAAGCAGTGCTCAGTACAGGACAGAAACTGGTAAGGGGAGGCCACTCGGCCTCACCCAAGATTATGCAGCATTTGAAGGAACTTGAGACTTCTGTAGAAAAATTGAAGGCAGAGGCTCAAGAAAGGAGACTGAGGCTCACGCAGTCATATGAGGCCCATCTGTTCCTAAATGAGGTAAAGATGTTTCCTGAGAGATTTATTTTGGTCTTTCTTTGCTTAAAAGAATCTGTATTGTTGAATGGACGTAAGTGCTGAGAAAGGAACAGAATTCATACTCTTCTGATTTTTCATATCTGATAAATATGGGTACAGTGGAGAAATAACAATTACCTTTCAACTAACTGCAGTGAGTAACATGTAACTGCAGTTGCTGGGTTCTGGGTACATGTTTTTTGGAAGTGTCTGCTAGACTGCGTTACAGGAAGACACCTAAGCTACTAATTTCACTGATAGATCAGTGCACCACTGCTTTCCAGTTTTCTTTATCTTGACCTAAATCAAGCTATGTTAAGGCCCATCCCTGTATTTTATACAGCTACTGGAGGTGGAGGCATGGCTGGCAGAGAGGAGTTTCATTCTGGATACCTCGGATTATGGGAAGAATGAAGAATCCACACAAGTCTTACTTCGTAAACTTGAAGCTACCAAACTGGACATGGACAGTTTCAGGTCCCGGATTGAGAAAGTACAGCAGACAGGAGCCAGCTTAATAAACAAAGACAGTCCAGAGAGGTAGGAAAGTGAGAACAGGCTTCTTCTCCAGGTCTAACAGAAATGCCTAGAGAAGGCAAATATGGAAAAGTTTGATGGCCCCTTCAGAAATAAGACTTCAGGGGACATCCAACCCTCCTTCATCACCATCAGACACACTGAGCTCCCCAAAAGCTTGATGATTGTTTTAATGTTTTCATGACTGTTTTTTCCCACAGTGCTTTGGAAAGGAAACAAACACTCTTGACAGTTCACTGTTTTTATTGCAAGTTTGTGTTTATATCTGGGGAGAAGGAAGTGTAAAGAGCAACCGTTTATATTATATACTTTAATTTTTGAACTAGCTGGCTTTAATGGCACAGCAGAACTCACCCCATGACATTTTCTGGTTTATTCTGTATTTTCAAGGCGTTGCAAATCCAGCATGTCAGAAAAGGCTCTTGTCTGCAGGAGCTGAGGAAAAAAAAACCTCCAAAGCAATTTAATTGGAGATGAGATAAGAAAAGGGTTTAATTTGTGCCTAGGCATAAGATTACAAGATGCACACCCCAGCCGTGTGCAGGTGTTACAATTTATAATATTGCTTGTCCAATCCCAAATGTTTCCACCCCGTAGCTTTTACCCTGGTCCACCCCCATCCCACCTCCTTGGAATTGGGGCTGGGGGCTTTTTGAGACCACTTTTTCATCATCTTCATCTTCTTCAGAGCACAAAGGGTACACGGTCACCCAGTTCTTGACTGTACTTTTGCTGTTCATGCCAAGGCTCAAATGTTCTTAAACAAAATAGGCCTACTCCTTAAGAGAGACTAAACATTTTCTACAGGAATTCAGGTGATATTGATATGGGAGCATGGAATGGGGTATGTAGGGGTTGAGGAATGTGTAAACTACTGTGCTAAAGGGTAAAAGAGTAAGGGCTGCTGCTTCTAAAATCTACTTCTGCTATATAACTACATATAAAGCTTACAAAAATTAGAAAAAATCAAAAAACTAGAAGAATCTTAAGGCATTAAGACAATGTTCAAAAAGAACAATAAAACAAAGACATACCTTCTGATTCTTGTTCTTTGCAGCTCAATCATACTTTCAAAGCTCCAGGGGATCCTAGCAGACTACCAGTCTCTCCAACAGAAGTCTGAGACGCAGAGAAAATGCCTACAAGAACAATTCCAACTCTATCAGTTTGAAAGAGAATTCCAGCTGGTGGATGCCTGGCTTTCCAGTAAACAGTCTGTAGCAGAGTCTGATAACTATGGGCAGGACTTAGATGATGTTGAGGTAAAAGAAAATAAAAGGTATTGCATGTGTTGTGTGGCAAAGCAGGAATATATTTCCTGCAATGTTTGTGCAGCTGCTGACAGTGAAGCGTGTTACATCTGCAAAAACTAAGTAAACCAGTTGTCTCTGCAGCAGGAGCTGTCTGGCTTCTGTCTGGTTATACAGGGCTTTCTGAGGTAGCATACTCCAACAGAAAAAGAAAGTGTATCAGAAAGTTAGCTTTTCTTGGGATAAGGTGAGGTCAGTACACTTCACTGCTTACCTTGATTATAAATTTGACAGGACCTAAAAAATTTGGCCATGGGCCATGCTCTTGTAATAAATTCTATAGAAAACACTTGGATGCAGCATTCACACCTCTAGCTGAGTGATTTGCACTTGTAGCTTGCAATACATAGCTTTTGTGTTATACAGAACAGAGAAAGTGATTCCTTCTGTCTCTCTCATAGGCAGAAATTCTTATATCTAATTTTGTGTCCCCATTTATTCTGCAGGTGCTGGAGAAAAAGTTTAAAGATTTTGTAAATGAGGTGAAACCTCTGGGACATTCTAAAGTTGTCTCCTTAAATGAATTAACATCTAAACTGTATAAGGAAGGCCATAGCAAGATGGACATTATCGAGACAAGAACAAAGCAAATCAATGAAACCTGGGAGAAACTATGCCATGCCATTCAGATGAGGACAGAGGTAGGAAATACATGAAAAACTGGGTTACTGATTTCCCTGCAGTCTCCCATATCCTTCTTTCTTTTCCAAACCAGTGCATTGCTCATGTTGAAACAGAAGGTTTATAAGAGAAATGAGTGCATTTTGTTCAATTCTTTCTTGATCCATTTCCCTTTATAGCCACTGCTTACCCCACTGTTCCTGGCAAGGCTTATACTTGAAAGATATTTATCAGCCTCAAGTAATCGGTTTTTTTTAATTCACTGCTAACTCTGGTTTCCTGAAAAACAAAGCCACCACTAATAGGAGTCCAGCTCTGACACTTATTGGTCTCTTTATTGAACTACCTATTAAACAGCTTGTTAAACAAGATTGAAAGTCTCCAGCTTTTTTTGCTGAGTTAGCTACTTGAAGTCAAAGAAGGCATATGGGAGAGAATGTGATAGAGGACACAGAGTCAAAGCCCATACCTTTTGGCAGCAGTTAGCTGTTAAATCAGCTCACTCTCTCTCAGGAAACTGCAGTCACAGATGTGTTTGAAAAAGCAGAGACAATACCTAGAACTCAGCATTTTTGTTTGTTTTAAGGAGAACATAAAATATCAGATGTCCTCAATTCTTTTTTTCTACTACTGTTGCATACACATTTTGCTTATAAGGTGGCTCAAGCCCACTATTGTCTGTTAGCAGAAATAAATGTATGACAATTGTTAATATATAGTTTGACCATAAAATAGTATTAGAACATTTTTTAATCTTCTAATTTCAGAAAAATATGAATTTTACTTAACTCCTCTTACTTTCACAGTTTGCAGTGTAGGCCTTTACCCAAGCAAGTTTTTTAGGACACTTTCTGTGGTGTAAAGACCTACCTTTAGAGGACAATTCATGTTCTCCATTTTGATCATTCTTTTTATGTAGGGATAAATTGCTCTTTGGAGACATCTGCTTCTTTCCACTGTCCTAGGGAGATGACTTAATTGGGAAGGTGTTTCAGTCCCATTCTTGTTCAGTTTCTACTGCATTATGACATATTAGGGTTACCTTTTTTTGTGTTGTAGACATGCTATACATTATTGCCATTAAATTACTTCTTTATTGCAGAATCTAAGAGCAGCACGTCAAGTTCACCAGTACGATCATGATGTGGATGAAGTAAAGGGTTGGATGCAGGAGAAAGAGGCAGTGGTGGATATAGAAGATTATGGGTATGATCTTCCAGGTGTACAGACACTTCTCAGTCATCTTGAGGGAGTAGAGGTAAGGGCATTTGTAAGGAAGCAGTGGCAGAAAAGCACAGATGGCAAAAAAAAAGGTTGATTTTAAATCCTTTCAAAGGCCTTGCTTGCAGGCCAACAAAAGATAAATTTATTGCACCCTTAAATATTCTTTGTGCTTCACGGAAGAGGGCCTTTTCCTCCTGTTTTTAAGATTGTGATATTATATTATTAAAGTTTTTGCTTCTAAAGATAAGCTTCTCTTCTAAAATCTATTCAAAATTGTTATTATAATTGCAAAGGTGTCGTCTGAACTACAGGAGACTACAGCTCCACATCTACTAGTGTGTTACATCTAAAGAAGTTTCTTTTATGTTTGATGATGGATATTAAAAGGCATTGAAAGAAAACTGAGAGAAAAAGTCTTGACAGATTCATATTTCCAGCCCCTGTACAGCCAGTGGGTAGAAAAGATATGCACCATCTTTAAAATCTAATTTTGGTAGATCTAAATAGTGACTTGGTCTTACAATCCATTCTGTCTCTGTTCCAGAGAGATCTAGGAGTCATCATGAAAGAGCTGGAACGGATTCGAGGAGAGGCTTGGCACCTCAGCCGCACATACCCTGAAGTTAAGGAAAATATCATGGAGAGACTCACAGATGTGGATGAGTCCTGGGAAAAACTGGACAAAAAATTTCTGGAGAGGAAGGCGAGACTGAGTCAGGCAGAACAGGTCCAGCTCTACTTCAATGCCTGCAGGGAGCTGATGTATGTGTTGGCCCCTGGAGCTTGACAGCGGGCCCTATTTCTTGTTTTTCCTATATAGGATTTTTTAAATTCCACCTGTTAGGTTTTTGACCTCTGTCCCAGGGGCTCTGCAGCTTGCTTTCAAATCTCTCTCATGGCATCTTCTCAACAGCGCTTCACAGAATTTACAACATATTAGAGGCTTCAGCACAGAGGGCATGACAAAGCCACTTTTTTAGACTATATTTTTAGACTATTTCCTAAACAGTCTTGGAGAATTCAGTCACTCTGGATAGATTTGGTAGTTTCACAATTCCAAGTGAAAATACTGTTGATTTTATAGGAAGGTGGGATATCTCTGGCTAGATAACGAAGTAATTTGTACACCTGCAGAGCTACCAGTGTCCCTTTTTCTCTGAGTCACAGCAGCTACATTAAAGATAATCTTCTAAAATAGGTTAGCACTTGCTCAAGTGCTGAAAAAATCTTGCACACATGTATTTAATGGCATTGCCCAACACTCTTCTGTCCATTATTATTAGGCGTCATTTTTTTGCAAGAATTCAATTGCTGGGAAATTCCTTTATTTTTTTCCTTTTTAAAATCAGTATTAGAACAAAATGCTGAAGGTTTAAAGCATTTACAAATGTTTTTAAAAATGTGTTTTGAGGTAGATCTCTTTTGTTTTTAAATCAATCATGCCAAAGTATCTATAAGCAGAGGTCTAATGTAAAAATTGAAATAGCTCATGGAAATATGCTAAATATAAAGTGCCAGACCAATCTTAAAATATTATATTTCATCATTTTAATGTCATCTTCATCAACATTTATATATTTTTAATGCCAATTGTGGTTTTAAAGCAGGATTTCCACAGAAGCAATGTGGACATTTTTAGATCAGTGTAAATAATGAAAAAGTTAATCTATGAAATGAGTAGAAATACAAAGAGAGTGAAGTGGTTACTACTGACTATTGGATATTAACTATGCTAAGGGATAGATCCTGAGCTCAGGTAAATCAAAATGCATTGGTTTATGCCAGTTGAGACTCATGGAGTAGAAAATTTTCCTTAAAATGTATCAATATGCTTCTTTGCAGGAGTGCTCTATATGCATATGAAGTACTTTCATGTATGGTGATAAGATTTTAATGGATATCTGAAAGTCTCTGTGTTCCTTTACAATGTATAAAAGTACTGTTAATGTGTATAATCTGGGCATTTGCAGTTAGTTTTTTTCTGAGGATTTGAATTCGCAGTGCTTCAGTATGTATAGATGCTGCAGCTGTCTTTCTAGTAGATTATCTATGGAAACAGCACTGGAAATATTATATCAGGTTATAAAAATCCATAGATATGTGAGTAAACTTTCATCAGTGTATTTGTACATTGTTACAGTTTAACCCAAGTCAGCAGCTAAGTACCCCATAGCCACTCACTTACTCCTCCAGGCATCCAGTGGTGTGGGGAGGAGGATCAGAAATAAAAAAACAAGCAAACACACAAAAAACAACTTGTGTTGAGATAAGAACAGTTTAATAATTGAAAAAAAGTAAAATATAATAATATTAATGATGATAATACTAATTATGAAGATAATAATTGTAATTAAAAAAAAAAAAAAGAAGAAAATACCCTCCCCACCCAAAAAAACTATTGATGCATAATAAAATTGCTCACCTCTCACTGATTGGTACCCAGCCTGTCCCCAAGCAGCAAATGGCCCTTTCTGACCAACTCTCCCTAGTTTAGATACTGGACATGGTGTTCTGTGATACAAAATATCCCTTTGGCCGTTTCAGGTCAGCTGTCTTGGCTATGTTTCCCCTCCTGCCCAGCTTCTTGTGCACTTCCCCACTGGCAGAGCATGGGGAACTGAGAAGTGCTTGACTTAGAGTAAGCACTATGCAGCAACAAAGAAATCATCAGTGTGATATCAACATGATTCTCATACTAAATCAAAATCACAGCACTGTACCAGTTACTAAGAGTTACTAAAATTAACTCTATGTCAGCCAAAGTCAAGACAGTATTAATATCTTTTGTGAGGAAACAAAAGTCTGTATAGATCCATCCACAGTCATAGTATGTGTGCGTGCATTCCCAAATATCCAACAGACTCAGATTCCTTCCCTTTTTACCTTTTGGCTCTGTTCTGTAGGACGTGGGCCAATGAGATGCATGCACTAGTGATATCTGAGGAACTGGCAAATGATGTCCTGGGAGCTGAACTGCTTATCAAGCGTCATGAGGAATACAAGCGTGAGATAGAGAAGCAGTGGCTAAAATATGAAGAAATGCAGCGGGCAGGAGGTGACCTGGTGAAGAATGCACATTTCATGTCTGTGGAGGTGTGTTGATGAGTTAAATATTTTACAAACAAGAGTGAACAAAGACATAAAAGGAACAGAAGTTGCAGCTTTGTTTCAGAGCAGAACTAAACAGGACACTCCGATTCTTAACTGTTAAAAGCTACACACACTGTGTCACACACAGAAAAAGAAAACACATTTTAAAGTTCTTATGACACATCACAATGCAATCCCCTGTAGGATGGACTGATGCCCCTGCATACATCAGAAGATACATAATTCTTCAGAAATGTGCAAAGGAACAAGAATGTTAACCTTTCTGTAATCCTGTTATCTATATATGTTTAGACTTTGCCCTAGCTTGTCTTGACATTCTCTGTAAATCCAGAGATCACACCATCAAAAACATCTTCAGAATTTATGCAGGATTACATTATTTCTGTTGCAGAAAGAACAAGAGAACTTTCTGCAGTTTAAGTCTCTCCATTGTTGCCTTGCCATAAATAGATGTTTTTGTTGAATCTTCTCGTTCTCACTGGTTCTATAATACAAGTTGCCCAAGTTTCATCTTGGGAAATCATACGGCAGAATATTGGTCATACAGTATGTGGAATATGCATAAAATTCTAACATCTAGCTATACAGTGTACAGGCTAAATGAATTCAAGTAAGAAAAATGAGAACTCAGACATCCTTTCTAAACTATGCTAGCACCACAAAGTTAGCTAGAGATCATCTTCCAAATCATGAAGGCTAAATCATTACATGCTAGTTGCCTGTCCTGTGAAGATCTGATTGGATTTTTCACCTCCTGTCATCGCAAATGTTATTTTTCTAGATTGAAGAAAAACTGTTAGAGCTGTCAGAGCTGATGAAGAAGGTAAAGGAGAGCTGGGACATGAGGAAAGTGTTATATGAAGAAAACTGGGAGATTCAATTGCTCCGCAGAGAGCTATTACAAGCAGAAGCATGGCTGACTGCCAAGGAGAGCTTTCTTTCAGATACCAACTACGGGGTGAGTAACAACATTGCAACACTACTGAAACACTATTGAACACTCTATGCCTCAGCATATACAGAGTGCTTGGCACGTGTACCAGCTCAGGCCTGAAATTAATCACAGTCTAAACAGTAATGCACCCTTGAGATTAGAAAGGGGAGGAGCTCTGCCGTCTTACAAAAGTGAGCCCAGGGCAGTTGCTGCTTTTGACATGGTGACGAGCTCCTCAAAGTGGTCCTTCCAAGGGGTGGTAGAAGACAGGGGAGAATTCCAAACCATTTTTTCAAATAAGATAACTTGTAGAGGGTTCAACCTTCCCTGTCATGTGGAGAGCCTGTTTTGAAAGGAAAAGGGGTTTTTCCCCACCTCATTCTCCCCATCAAGCGGTAGAATGTTTTACAGAGATGGCTTGACAGCTAGCTTGTCAATTCCCTTTAAATTAGCATCCAACACGTTCCTTTTGGTTTGCAATTTTTTTCTCATTGTGAACTGTCATCTGATGGTTTATAAAATGGGAAAACAAAGTCATAAACTCAGGTATCAAAAACTAAGCAGAGGGCATGACAGAGGTTTAAGATGCATTGTCATAGGGCAGGAATTACTTTGTGTGTAGCACAAGCTAGAATCCATGTACTTAATCTGTATGTAAACAGTTATAGCTGGAAACCATGGTACTACATAGCTTTGCAGAAAAACGAAGGTTGTTATTCGAGCTCTTTTTATCCTGCACATCAGACAGACTGCAAGCTACAGACCTTTTATTGAGTGTAAATTTTTCACACACTAGGAGGGGTTCAGACATTCAATTACAAAAATTTCAGAATCATAATTTGGCTAAATAAAATAGGTAAATCTAAAAATCTTAGGCACAGTCTCTTCTGAGGGACTTGATTTTGGACCTCCGTGTCTGGTGATTTTTCCATTCAGGATTCAGTATCTGAAGTAGAAGAATTACTGAAGAAACACCATGATTTTGAGAAGATGCTCGCAGCACAGGAGGAGAAGTTTGCTCAGCTCAGCAGGAAAACTAAGGTGAGTACTAGAAGGTTAATAAGCTGTGTATGAGACAGGATGATGTGGGTCCTTGATTGTTTGGATATCACTCCACATACGAATGAACTCCTGGCCTGAGATAGAGTAAATGAGTAACCAAAGCTGAGATACTGCAGACAGAGCAGCTGAGAACCAGACCTATATGTGGGTCAAAAAAGATAACTAGCTTGCAAAAGCTTTAGGGAAGAAGTAGAAGTTTTCTTCTGTTAGGAGCAGCAAAAAGAGCGTGAGAAGTGGTGTGATCATCCCTTGCTACACAGATAGAGAAACTTTGCTTTATTCAGGACTTCAGTAGGGAGTTGGAGCTACCTGAGCATTCTAGAGAATAGCAAAGGGCTGAAAATAAAGGGAGACAAAAGCACTGATAGGCCTTTTTCCTTCCGACATCAGAGTTTTACAATGGATTGTGATAAGTACCAAAAAATATTCACTGAGCCTATCAGATCCTGTTTCAATGTGGGAGGTTTTAATTATTTTCCTGAAATAACCAGCAAAACATACCTTTTGTGTTTGACATTAGGCTAAAAATTAGCTTAGCCAAATCTGTCTTTCATTTATTTCATTTGATTTGCAAATTGGCTAAATGAAGGGACAAAGGTCCTTTCCTCTAAAATTTTCTCTGACAACACCCCTAGATACTCCATGTTCTTACAGAAAACTTAAAGAAGCAGTGACACAAAAAAAGGAGCATAGGTTCTCTGGAGCTTATTAAAAAATCAGCCTCTAGAGAACTTAGCAAGGTCAGGATTCACTGTATTTGAGATTAACTGCCATTAGTATTCATGGTTTGAGTAACAAAATAATGCTCAGCACATAGCAATTAAGTTCAGATCTAGCTCTAAGAATGCCAACAGAGGAAAAGGCCTTAAAATTCAATGCCAGGTGACAGTGTATTTGAAAAACTATTCCTGCTAAAAAAAAACAAAAATCTTATGTAAGTATCCATAAATAAAATGAAGGTAATTTAAAAAAATGTAATACTTCTGTCCTTCAGAGAGAGATGAATCTTCTGAAACAAGTGGACACAGAAGACAGTGAGCATAAGGATAAAGGCAAAGTTGTACGGGTTCCCTCTCTGAAGAGAAAAACATCTGACAAAAGGAACACACCACCAAAAGTGACAGAGATAAAGAGCACAATGCCATTACCATCTGTGCCCTTACCCAGCCTGTCCTGGAGGGCCCCACTTGAAACTATTTTCTCCCCTGTTGAAAAATCTCCAACAAGGTTCCAACAACTCATTGCTGAGGATGTCCCTGAAGTGCTGAGCAGCAACAAAACAGAAATGAAAGCTGAAACAAGGCTCAGTGAGATTATCCCTCCACCTACACCAAAGATGGTGAGTCCACAAGCTAGTTCTTTGGAAAGTCACAGTTCTTTAAGCTCTTCTTTATCTCCTACTCCTATAAACCAGCAACACAGTAGCAGTTTGTCAGAATCTGGTGCCACAGACCACCTATCTCCTCAGGAAAAAGGTGCTATAGGCTCCTTTATCTCCAAACTCCAGACCAAACTAATGGCAACACCACCCAAGCCTGGAAAAAGGTCCCTAGATATATCACCAAACTTACTGCTGTCTAACTCCTCTCGGGAGACATTAGAGAATACGTCTTTGGTAAACCCACAGAATGTGCCTTTGCAATTGAAACACTTTCCACAGTGACAGTTGACTTAAGCAGCTGTGTAAAGCTTAAAACCATTTTTAATTTGCTCAGCTTTGTAGGCTAGGTCTTAACAACTATATTGGTTTCTGTTTTTCTTTCCCAAACTAGAGGTTATTCCAGCTGCTGAATACTCAGCAGAACACCTAACAACAGCCAGGAGACGCTGTCTTACAAAGAGGCGAGACTGCAGATTTACCTACACCCTCTATGTGAGGTAGCAGTGCTTAATGTCCACTGAGTTTAGAAGTCAGAGAAAGGCAGGACTTAATGGCACATTTGCCAAAGAGCTGACTTGGTGCAAGACTAGAACCAACAACTCCTGCTCACTTGGGCAGGAAATGCACTGTTGACTCATCACTCCTGTACTCTGAGAGGAATGTGTTTGTCACATACCCAAGTGTACCAGTACAACACTATACTTGGTGTAACTCAGTATTTATAGAGTGGTATGAATAACTTGAACCATTTAAGTTGTAAAATATAGTTAATAATATAAAAATAATATTAACACAATATGATTGAGCAAATTTCATAAGTGAATTGCTCTAGAAGGATGCGAATTCTCTTCATTTAGGTAGTATATCAAAGATATGACTACAACACAGTAAGGATTTCTAGCTGTGCTGTCAATGTAAAGGCTAGAGGAAGCAGAGATTAGTTTCTTTGCATGGAATTTATCTAAAAAAGACCTTCAGAAATATTAACGTATGCTTAAGGGCCATTTTAAAGTTAAGTAGCAATATTCTTGTGTGTCTCAGGTTTCTGCAAGTCTCCAGCACATGGAAGGTTTCCTAGAGAAGAGAGACCAGCTCCTTCCAGGAAGACAACAGGTAGAAACAAATGCCATCACTCTTTATTGTTATTTCATTGTCCTTGGATTATAGTCCAGACCTCCTCAGACTTCTTCAGGATAATCCCCTGCTGAAGAGGAGCTCAATACTAGGGGTTTGCTTCAGTTATCCTAAAATGCATTAGGAAGTGTCCACTGACTTTGGCAGTAGCTGATCAAGTCCTTAAGAGATGATGGAATTTTTGCCTGACATGGGAATCATACATTTAATGGATGTATGAACCAGAGCCTAGGCTGTATGAACATGTTAATTACATTTCCTAATTATAAACACAGGTTTCAGTATATCAACTGAATTGGAAAAAAACCCACCAATATTAAAAAAAACCAAACCAAACAACAAAACCAAAAGTAAAAAAAAACCCACACCCCAAAAAAACTAAAGCTTCGTAATCCTGTAACAGCATGTGATAGTTTGTTGACAATGGAAGCCCTCAGTCCCATGCTCCCAATACTTATAATTTCTAACTGTGCTAGAAGAGAATTAAAGTTCTGTTTATCTTTGAAGAATTGATTTCTTAAGTCTGGATTTGAATGAAACTGAAATCTAAATTCTTATCCTGGGAAATAATACCACGTCAGGTCAGAAGCCTAATGATCACAACAGGGCAGGAAATTTTCTAGTATTCACCACCAATCTGTAGACATCTCAGTGTTTGCTGGGTCTTGCATATAAAGTTGTCTTGGATTATTCGTCCCATAGATTATTTCCCCCAAAATTTTTAACTTGAAAGACCTCTTTTAGAAACTGAATCTGGTATGGACTCCATCTTCTGGAAGAGGAATTTATTTTTTCTTCTCTTCTGGATATATAGAATTTAGTTTGCAGTGATACCGAACTTCCATATTACCAAACAAGAAAAATTATGACTTACGTTCCTCAGAACTTTTTCTTTCCTTTTCTCTGAATTACCAAATTGTCAACTTGATTCACTGACATAACAAAATACGAATATACAAAAGTAATAGGATCCTTCATCCAGAAGAGTCTCACGGCACTAAACTAAAACCTTACAGTAATTCATACTTGGGGTTGGCTTTTGCACATTGTTCAGTAGCATTCCACTGGGGTTAGTTTAAGAAAATAAGAAGAGTTCAGCAGCCTCATTAGGCTGAAACCACACACTTGACAAAACTGGCCTGTGACCAGCAGGCAGGGGCTGGTGTTCCAGCTAGGAAAAAATTTTAGTGGCCAATAATTAGACATAACTTTGATTATCCACCTTCAAAGATGTTGCTGGCCACATGGTATACAGAGCTTGCTTGAACCAGGTTATGTCATTTGTTCAGTCCTGACTCATAGAGAGCCCTTATTGAATCACCCCCACCAGAAACTATAGTAGGTTCTGCTCTTCTAGGAGATAATAATGACTAAGAGAACTTCTGTGATCATAACATGGACAGCTCCCGGCTTCTTGAGGAAGTTGCATATGAAAGATTTCACTACTCCTATAAAATATATAATTAATGACTGAATTTTATTACCATTTCTATTCATGTAGCCAGGCTCAAGGTCTTGGAAATCCTTCTACATAAAACTTGATGGATTAAAGCTTGATTTCTATAATGATGAAAAAGAAGCATCTAAGGTAATTCGATTTTTGAATCTTTCTAGCAATCTCTCTGTCTACCTATGTAAAAGTGCATTTAAAAAATTGCATTTAAAAACATTTGCTTTGGTTTGGGTCTGGGGTAATCAGTTCTCTTTCAAATGTCAGCTGAATGAAAATTCAGCAATTATTCCACTGATACCAACTATAAAACAGAATAATAAGTTTTCATAAATTTTCAAGGATATTCCTTAAAAAAAGTATTTTATGCAAGATTCACCTTCAAGATACAATCATCCATTGTTCCTCTGTGGTTCTTTCTATTCAGTGATCCTAGTTATAAAGTTAGCGGCATAAAAATATGGGTGTCTAGTTAGCCTGCAGGTTGGTATGGAATTGAATCTTAGCAGAACAGATGCAGAAGACATTTTGTTTTTATTTTATCCCCCTTCAGAATATATCCACACTCCTCTCCCTCAGTATTGCAGGCTCCAAATGTGAGAAGCTAGTAAATTACACCAGGAAAGAGAACAGCTTCATGTTGCGGTAAGTCTTGTGGAGAAGTGCACAAATGAAAAGCTACACAGGTACCTGTACAGTTACATTTGCCTACAGTCACCTAAGACTGTATGTTGTTAGGAGGCATAACTGATATGTCTTACGCTCACCAAGACAGAAGGTATAAGTCAAAACTAACTAGAATTCACCTTCTATCCTCATTTACAGGCTGAGAGATGGGGCAGAGTATTACTTTGCAGCACCTTCTCAGACACTGATGGAGGACTGGCTACAAGCACTACAGAATAATATAGGTACATTCTCACTTCCTTCAAGAATGAGCTGTGTTTTTAGCAAGTGATGATGAAAGAAAGAGAAGAGAATGAGAAAGTGTCCTTAGTTCAGCGCATTTTGAGCTGTCCTTTTTGCCTCTGTTAGACAGTAGTACACAGGTCACCTGCCTTGTGATGTAGCGACCTGGCAGGAGAATGCCCAGGGTGACTTGCAAAGCAGCCTTTCAGTTGTACTGTGGCCAACGTCAGGTTATTTCTAAGCCTTGTATTCCTCCTTTTATTAAGGAGCTGCCTTGGATCCTGATCAACAGCTTTTCTGCTGAATCTAAATCTCTTTCTGGACACCTCTCTAAGCAGTGGCTTACTGGAAAGGAAGTCAAAGAACAGATATAACTATGATGTTCAGAGAAAATTGTTACGGACCCAGAAAAGGCAAACTCTGCCTCTAATGCTACTTCAGAAGGTTTTTATTTGTGTGGTTTTTTGACCTTGCAGGAAACAGTAATAGATCACATTCCACAGTGATGATGCAGCCTTTCACTCCAAACACAGAGACCTCCCAGAAAAGACTGCGGGACTTTACAGACAGGGGCTCTGCTGAAAGACTGACCAGCAAAAGCTCACTCGTGAGGTATGGGCTCTGTGCCACAAAGCTGAACAGACGTCAGTGCTGTTTTTGCTCAGGTAGCAGTCACCTACAAAGAGAGACTGCACTGAGGTCAAAAAGTCCTACTCCTCTGTCACTAATGTCACAAATAGTGTGGCCAGCAGGACTAGGGCTGTGATCATCCACTGTATTTGGCAGTGGTGAGGCCACACCTTGAGTCCTGTGTTCAGTTCTGGGCCCCTCACTTCAAGAAAACTGGAGCGTATCCAAAGAAGGGCAACAAAGCTGGTGAAAGGTCTAGAGAAAAAGTCTTACAAGGAGCAGCTGAGGGAGCTGGGATTGTTTACCTGGAGAAAAGGAGGCTCAGGGGAGACACAGACATGGAAAACAAAGCCATAGCCAAATTCAGAAATTTGGCTTTTGTGCACTTTCTGTTGCATTTGGAATCCGTAAAAAACTTACAGACTGTGATGTGAAATCCCAGTCCTGCTGCCGGGCAGACTTTTGCTGCTGAGCCAGATGCCTAGCAAGTTCTTATACATACAGAGTGATTTAAACTACTCTAGATTGTACCTGATTTTCTGGTGATGCTTGTTGTTGATAGGAGAACACCATCCTTCAAAATCAAAGCGGAGAGAAAGTCTGCAGAATTTTCCAGATTTTAAGGAAGATGAGACTGCAGTGACACAAGCCTCCATCACCACCCTAAGTCTAGAACAAAGTGGAAATAAAACAAAACTGCTTCCATCTCTACTAGAAGCAGGAAGAGAAAAATTATATTTGCCTCAATTAATACCAGATCATTATATCTTAACTCAGCCCTCTGGAAATGTATGGATATGTTTTAAGGTAATCGATTCCCTTGAAACTTTTTAAATTATGAATTAAATCTCATAAAATCTTTAAATACAATTAAAAAGGACTGCATCTGGTGTACTTTTATGTGTACGACAACTCTGTCATTCACCATACCACACAAGTGATATCTACTCTGAGTTACCTCAGGGAAGAGCAGAGGGACCTTTAAGCCAGACCGCTCAAGTGGAGTGACTCCGCAAGACAGGAGTGGGGAGCACCTAGCAGAGCATGAGGTGCAAGCTGTGATTGAACTACAGCCACCTGCAAGTGGATTTGCAGATACCAACAGATAAGATTTAAGAGGCTTCGGTGGTCTGTGCACCCAAAGGTAATGTTTGTTATATACTTCCTGGAGTGTTTTGTAGTCTCCACAGTCTTGCCTTTTTACAATACATTAATCAAAAATTCCCTATTTGCCAATTCTTTCTGGATGAAGTTACCAGGAATAAAAGAAGTCCTGCAGTGTTACTCATTTTTAATAGAATCTGAATCTAAAATAAGGCATGAACAATCACTCTTTCAGTATAAAAGGAGAGGAAACACAGGTTAGCAAGGAGGAGGTCTAGTCCCCAAACAGCAAGCTCCACATGCTAAGGTATGGTGTAACCATGGGGAGGAATACATATATATATTTTCCCCAACTTATCTCTGTTGCTGAGCCAAAGAAAAGTTATCTAGCATGAAGATGGGAAGAAAGGATATTTCTTACCCCCAGGTCATAGTGGCTGGGGGCTCTTCTTTGACAGATGGAAGCTAAAGCTTCAAGTCCTTAAATCCTCTGACAAGGACTTCAGCCTTGGTCCTTTTCTAGCCCATCTGAAGCATGACTCTCATTCTTTGCTTGCAGTCTTCTCCTCTGCCCTGAGTAATTCTCCAGTGGTAGGGAAGGAGAACCCTTTACACCAAGTTTATGTAAATACTTTCTGGGTACATGCAACATTTAGAGTCTAAATTTAGACTGATTCAGATCAGTCACTTGCATCCAACAAGGTGATCTAATAATTTCATTTTTTTTGGCTAGTCCAGCTCTCTCATCTGCTCCACCTCAGCTGGAGCTGATGCCTGTCACCAAAAAAAAAAACCAAAAAAACCCAGCACATGAAAGTAATGGGAAACTGATGCATTTTCATTATTGCTGATCATTTTTAGCTGCTTTTATTAAAAAACAAACAACAAAAAAAAACCACAAAAAAGAAAAAAATAACCACCAAAAAAACCCACAAAAACCCAACCAAACAAAAAACTAACAAACAAACAAAGAAAAACCACAAAAAGCCTAACACTTTTTTAAAGTATTTTAAACTTACCATTTAAACTTACCATTCAACTGATAACAGCAAAGTTATCAAGAAAGGCAGCCTTCTGTACTCACTTAGGTCAAACCACCAAGAGGCAAAACAAAGCTGTGCCTTGGTTGTGGCTTAGTACAGCTGCCTCTTTACCCTGCTTTGTGCCATTCCACTGAAGAGGGTTTTACCACAGGAGGCAGATTTTGTTCCACTTTTTCCAAGGCTCTCCATGCCTTTGTAAACCTGAAGATCTTCTCCCAAATTTTTCCATCCAATCTTGAAAACAGTAAATGCCCTATGAAGTTCTCAGCAGGCATTTTGCAGTAAATAGTGCTAATACAAGTGGAAAAAACATTTCCTTGTGTTTAAGTGCATAAAGTTTCATGGGTCTGGTGTTCCTTCACAATATTTTATTAATTAATAAATTATTATATTTTAATTAATATATTATTAAATGGTTAAAAGACACAAGCAAGCAATTTCTCTGAAAAACAGCTAGCAGTTATAAGAACAAACTTTTGTTTCCTTTGTGTTTGGCAACAGATAGCAAGCTCTGTATTTGTGGGGGTTATCCATCGGAAAGTAGTGCTCTGGGGTGCCTTTCGGGTGACTTTTTGGCAGGCATGCATTCATATTCAGTCATTAAGCAACCATAACACCAGACTAGCAATGCCTGATTTATAAGCATGTCATGTGCCTTTTTAGGGTGAGACACAGATAACAACTTTCTCCTGGAAGTGCCTGCTTTGGTTTGCATGCACTCTGCTCAGTCACAGGACAGCATGTGGCACAAGGCCAGGCAAGAATGGGGCCGAGGCAAAAATCGAAACCACAACCTTTGGGGAACAACCACACAAAATTCAGAGGCCCTTAGACTCGCTGTATACCCAAAAAGAACAAGGACCAAGGACCAGTCCAGAGCACAGGTCACTGATCAGCCTCATGTCACTGAAACTCTGCTCTATAGTTCTGTGAGTTTGGGGCTGTGCAAATCAGAATGCTGTGAACCACAGCTCAGGTGTGCTTTGAGAGACAGCCTGTACCAGCTACCACTTCCCAAGAAGCTGCACAGACAAGACTGTGCCAGGTGTAGGTCCCTCCATCCTGCAGAGTCCTCCAGCAGCCTTTGCCCTCCAGGTCCTCCTGCCACACCATCAAGCCAGCAATGTACTCCCTTAATGTCATAGAATCATAGAATCGTTTAAGTTGGAAAAGACCTGTATGACCATCGAGTCCAACCGTTAACTCAGCACTGCCAAGTTCACCACTAAACGTGTTCCCATGTGTCACATCCATGTCATGTTACAAAAACAAAAAAGTAACCAAAATAAAACAAAAAGGCAGTCTGACGGGCAATGATAGAGCCCTCACACAATTTCAAGCCCTGAAACACAAAAATATATTTGATAAAACTATTATCATTTAAGGCTACAATGGTACCACATGGGGCCCCAAGGAGATGAAAGGGTATATGCTTGTCTGTGACTCCAGCTGCAAAATTGAACAGCAGTCCCCAGCCTAACTTTAAGTGTTGGCACAAATTTTGGTGACAGTTCTCCTGGCAAAGGGAGATTCCACCTTCCCTGCCACAACTACCTAGCTGCTATCAGTTGCTGGTTTTGGGACTCCCCTCTAACTGTTCAGCCCCCAGCCCTCTCCTCCAGCTCAAACCTTTGCAGCTCCTGTGTAACAGTGTAATGCTGGAAAATGTAGGCAATAATTTGATGTCCCAAGAGCAGTGAGGACATGAGATGGACAGCATGATGGTGTTAGTCACTTCTTGTCCATCCTTTCCAGCCAGGGCAAGCAGGGGGTCAAACACCAAATGTCTGTGGAGCCTAGGTGAATCAGGGTGCACCAGGACATGGGACATGGGAGCACATAGCCTCTTCGCAGTCATGATGGAATTAGTTTTTGTTCTGTCCAAGCAGGTTATAGGGAGGGGTTTCTTTATAGGACCAGCCAGAGGAGCACAAAAATTTGTATGTGCCACAAAATACTGTGCCAGGACGTGCTGCTCTCCTATGCAAAGGCAACAGATCCTGCTGGTAGGACTCTCCTTTGAGATAGCCCCCTGCTGCCATCTCACCTCTCAACTCAAAATGGTTCTTTTTTTTTTCTTGCAGCTGGTATCCCATTAGTTCTTAACGTCTCATGGCCAGAATTCAGCTGTACAGTTGCATTCCAGCTTTTACTACTCCTCAGGTTTTGCATGACATTCTTTAGCTCAGGAAATTTGCATTGTACAAGGAATATTACTACGGCTTACTTGCCATTGCAGCAGAAGCAGCATTTAGTAAATGCAGGGTTCAGGCAATGAAGTCTTTGTAAATGCTCTCCCTTTGAGCTTGAGTACTGCCTGCATATACCCTGTTGCTCTTTCTTTGTCTGACTTTGGATTTCAAATTAAATAATTCTAGATCTCAAGTAAATTTCCAACATGGAAGAAATGTATAAGATTTTCCTTGGAGGTCCCTGCTGAATATGCTGTGTTCAGAATAAACAAGGCAGAAGCAGGTCCAAATCCTTCAATGTTAGAGAAGTCTGCAAACTCCTCTGACTTTTGTGGATCTCTGTTTTATATTGCTCAGCATCCTTCCCTACCATCTTTTTAATATAGTGCAAGGCCATAAAGATGTTCCAATCTCCTAGTTCAAAGCAAAAATCTCTCACTGCACTCCAAAGCAAATGAAAACCAGGTGTCATTTTTCCAAATATTTTCCTCCAACAAGGAGGTGCGATAGAGAATTTCCTTTTTTTATTATTTGTGCTCTATTTTCTGTAGCACCTTTTAAAAACACTTTGCCTGTAACATTAGGGATAGAAGACTGTAAAAGGTAAAAATCTTCTGGCTGTGAAAATATAATGGCTATGCATTCTTTTAGTGAGTTATGTTGTCGTACATTCAGTTTACATCCATAAGGAGCACCAGCTTATGGCTTGGTCATGATTATTTAATTAAATGTACTTGAGTCTATGCTAATTATTCTTCTCAAGCTTCTGCTATCATAAGTTTGTTTCAGGTTCTTGACATTTTAACGTATAAAGGCACTGCTGGTATAAATCAATGCATTTACTCACGCTTTATTCAGAACTTTTCCTCCAGCCAACACTCAAAAGAACCGTACTCACTCACTGCAGCTAACATCATCTCTCCTTGAAATGTAACTGCCCCTTTTGTGGCAGTTTGGAGCAGTGTTTCTGTGCCAAACTCTTGCAGGGGAACAGAAAAAAAAGGAGTAACTTCTAAATCAGCAAGGGGAACTGGCCAGACAGAGCGTCACTGTCCACGTTGCAGTTTGGACATTGTTCACATATATATGCATGATTCTTTGGCCTGACTTCAAAACTGAGCCCACCAATTCAGTGCAAATTCTAGTTGCTCAGCCTATCTGAAAATCTGGACATTACTGAATGCAAATGGCCAAGACTTGGTTTGCGATGAAGCATTGAAAAGACACCAATAATGGGCTCAGGGTTGAAAGGACAGGCGCATACAAGAAACTATCTAGCACCACCATATCATATAACATCAGGGAGATCCTGAGAGGTCTCTGCTAACCAGGACCTTAATTTCTTAACCACAGTGTGAGGCTCTTGTGGGCTGAAAACATGGGGGAATAAGATTAAATAAACCCTTTTGAAAGCTAGGAGCTTGAACAAGGCAAGATGAGAAATGTACAGGTTTCCTCAGTTTTCTGCAAATAATGAACACTGATGTGTCGCAATGTGACTGTGATGTGTTCCAGTGTGCTGCCATAGCCTTCAGTAGGAAACAGTGCAAAAACCCAGCCTAGGGGTATCCAGAATAGCTGGAGACATTCCCAGTCCTGCTGCTTCTCTTCCGTTCTACAGCACTCTGGATTGCCTGGAGGAGCGTGTCTTTGTTATTGAGGATGTTGTATTTGCTCAGGTTCACGAGTTTATCGAAATTTTCAGAGGAGTAGATTAACCTAATGAGGTAGTAGGGTGAGCAGCTGTTCTCCAGATTTACTTTGCCTTCTTCCATCTCTGAGTGACCGCGCTTTACCCCTGCAGAGAAAGACAAAAACCACCACAGTGAGCTGAATCTGGAATACTAAATACATGGTGTTGTAAGGGACTGATCTACTTGGCAGAACCCACTGTTAAAAACAACCCCTAGGAATTACTACAAACCCACCCACAGCTTGAAAGAGCCATTCCTGGTCAGTTTTCCCAGCTACTCCTCCCTCCCCTCCTGCTAAGGCTCCGTCCTGGAAATCCCTCAGCAGAGCTGGCACAAATCCTTACATTCCTCCTTATCCTGTCCCTGCAGACAGTTATTCCTGGCAGCGTGCCCATGGGTCCACATCCTTTCCCAAACCCTGTAAGTCTGACTCTAAGACAAGACACACACCTAGAACACCTTTCAAAATCCATGATCACCCCTCAGTTAACCGTGGCAGGTGACAAGTGCACATTTGCCAGCTTGAGTGAGTACATACAAGGAGGCCTTGTGATGCTAACCACATAGCACTGCCTGTTGCAGAGTGCGTAGGTACAGATGGACCAGAGGACCCCACATCAGACTCTTAGCAAACTCCAGCTTGGCCTTGAGTTAACTCAGCCTCTTGGAATTGGCAACATCCATAATCCCCGTTAGGCCAATGTTTTTGCACCAGGGACTTCAGCAGTCTCATATTTATGCTTCTACAAAAATTTAGCTACATTTCTTTGCTGGCTTTTTTTTGCCTATCTCCTTGCAATCTGAACCAAATATGCCCAAAACACAAATGTAATGTGAGAGGACTGTCACCAGGACTACAAAGACTGCTGAGATATTCCTTATGATGTCAACCAGAAGCTCATGAACTGACATGAATTTTGCTTGAGAAATAGCAGTCTAACCTAGTGGTTTCAGGGCAGCGTGACATCAGGGTCCTGGGCACATGCTATCACTAAAAGTGGCTGTATTAAAATATCCAGTGTTGCTTCATTAAGCCTCCCAATATTCAGAGAGATATTATCTGTGTTACCCACATCCATATAAAGCTGCATCTGCCTCAAGCACACAAAAGCACAGTCTATAATACTTGCATTGTAAATGGGCATTTCACAAATTGAGTCTCTTTGGAATTTAAATGGTTAAAAACAAGAAAAAAGTACCCACATTCCACAAGGTGTCTCTCATCCACCTAGAAACAAAAAGCTCCACTGTTAAAATTGAAATCCACAAAACCAGGTTGCCAAGGACTTTCCTCCCCCAACCACCCACATCAGTTGCTGGTTGTCAGCTTGATGGATGAATCACCAACTGCTAGAGACATGCAGGTGAGCATAATAGCTCACCAATTTGGGCCTGGAGCACTGAGAAGCTGCAGCAGCTGCTTTGCTCTGCATCATCTCATCTATCGTTCAGAGAGATTCCAAAAACCTCACCTTCTTTACCTGCCAGCCACTGCTCAATAACCAGAACTCACCACACATTGCCATTTGGACCATCTCCAGCCTCCACTGAACAAGCCTACAGGGTATCTCCTCTTTTCACCCATAAAGTTTCTAAATGTGGTTTTCTTGGTTAGCTCTTAATGCACATATTCACGGAGCATCGGTGAATAGCAGAGCAGAAAAGGACCTTAACCTAAAATGTTTTGCTGCTCTTCCTACCCTTCTCCAAATGCTGCCTGAGAGACACCCATTCTGCTGTGGTCCTACTCAAAAACACAATAGAATTTTGGAATTTTGCCTTTCTGCCTCCACCAATTCTGTACTACTTGCATTAATCACTGGGCGAGACAGAGCACCACATGCCCTCTCTGCAGGCAGCCATTCCACCTGCTCCTGAGCTGGGTGCAAGCAGGTGACCACTACAAGTGGTTCATGGTCCTCTCTTCCAACCACAGCAACAGGGCCAGAGAGGAGGCCCCGCGTCCGGCCAGCCATGCAGCCGCAGCCTGCGAGCGCACTGGCACAGCACTGCAGCAAGCTTGGCATTTTGCCTGCTCTTGCATTCATCAAACATTCAGATGCTTTCCAGGGGCTGGATTATTTTTTATTTTGTTTTGTTTTGTTTTTTTTCACAAAACTGAAGACCCACTCACTCTTGGCAATGCTTTCCAACACAGTGTGGCACTGAGTTGCTTGGGATTGTGTCCTCCATACTTTGCAAGTGGAGAATGACCAGCAGGTGTACGGAGGTTGCTCTTCTGCCTGTCATCAGTGGAAACATACCAGGGGCAGAGCACAGTACACAGTTTTGTTGACTGAATTTACCTGGCTCCTTGAATTCCTTAAACGTGTCATTCACCAGGGGGAAATGGATTACTATGGGTGCTCTGGGATCCTCGGCATCCGAAAAGACGTAACATTCCTTTGGGTTCTTCTTTTCTTCTTCACTTAGCTCCACTTTGGGGAACGGGATATTTTGTATCTTGCAATATTTGTATGTCATCTCTAATTGCTGTGGACACAGAATGTCACGGAGTTAAAGCTCTAAACCAAGAATCAGGTTTACTCATGTATCCTAGAAATACTATGGCATCTTAAGTCATTCCCTAGAATCACTCTGAAATGAATGTGTAGTCCAAAGCAACTGCAGTACAACCCTGCTTTTGGCCACCATTCACCACAAGTCAGATGATGCCTCTTATCAGCTTATAATGCTTTTTACAAGCTCAAGAGAATGATCCAAAACCACATTTAGAATTTGTCATGACAGACCAGGAGAGATCAAGGGCATGTCTCCAGCGAACAATTGTTACTGCAATTCCTAGGAAGTGTATGCTATAATTCACTATAGAGAAAAGAGCCTAACGGTTTCTATAGTTCTGTTCTTGAAGTAAGTTTCTTTCCTCCTCCAAGATACAGTGACTGGTTTGGTCTTGAATATATGATCAAGTTTTAATAAGATAAGAATAGTTTTACCAGAATTGCAAGGAACAGAGTAAGTTAATCTTCTCACCTTGAACACATTCCCCAAACCATAATCAAGGGATATAATGACATCTACATTCCTCTCTGGCTTGAAAAGTGCTGCACCACTGGTGTTGATGAAATAGCCAACATCTATCAGACAAAGATATTTCTGCAGCGGTGTCAGATTGTTAGGGAAAGCGTCCAGTACAGTGTCTGAAAAACATTTTGAATACAGTTAGTGCTGCATTGTTAGGAAAGGAGGAGTGAGTAATTCTGTCTGTGCTACATGTTAAGGGCAGCCCCTTGGTTGCCCTCAAGACCGGGGTCACCTCCCTCCATAATGCAAGCCCACAAACACGGCCTCAGAAGCATGCCCTTTAGACTGCACATCTGGGCCCATCTGGCCTGTTACCACACTCTCCCAGACACATTCACAAAGGCAGGCCATGAGGCAGCCAGGAAGAGGACAGGTGATACACAGACTCCACTGACCTCACAGCTGCTCTGGGGAGTCATTTTTCACAGAATACAGACTTCAACAGATTTTTTCCCCCTAAGAACTGGGAAAAATGTAAACAACAAAAACAATTTCACAGTGTAGCAACACAGCTAACAAATGCAATACATCACTGCATTTTTGCATTGCTCTTTTTTTGCTTTTGTATTCTCAGCTTTTGTAGGCTCCTCTCCGATGTTGAAAAATCTGACTTCAACCTGCTTTCAGTGATCTCACATAAATTATCTGCAAAAAAATACCACATCATGCACACAGCATCCCCTACCTACAGCTTAAAATACTGCTTGAATTAATTAAATCTCACATTAATGCCAAAAGGAGCCAAAAGGGGATTACACCAACTGGTAAGTTGAGATCTAAAGCCAGTTTCTGATAGCTATTTCTCTGCTAGCAACCTCACCAGCTTGCCCTGTAGACAGCAAGTCCTCTATTGTTCCCCTAGTACTCTTCTAGTCCCATGAAACATGAAACATTTTGCCATGGTTTTAAGTATCAAAATAATGGCTTAAGAGTGTCCCTCAAGTTCACAAAATGAGGTAGCAAAGCCCAGAGCAGAACACTTATTGTGTTTAGGCATTTTAAGAAACTGTTGATCACAGAAATACTGCAGCATTTAATTCATTCAACCTCTCTGCTTCCTTGGCCTCATTCTGTAGTGTTAATTTAAACTGTGCAGAGTAACTCTAGCTTGTTCCATAGCCTGGAATGTTTCACAGCAGCTTGAAGTAATAACTCATAATTTTTCCATTTCCTCACTGTCAGGTCTTTACAAAATGTGCTTATTTTAGCATTCGAGGCTGCTGAGAATTCACAGATTCTGCTGTCATGAAAGACATTTGCTTGTAGTCCCTCACAAAAGAAACGGGGCTTTTTACTTGTCTTTGGCCCAGTGAAAATTTTTAGTTGAAATTACATTACCCTCCTTTTCTTATCACAAAGATGGAAGTATGTAGCATTTATTCATGGCTGGATATGTGAACTACAAGTAGGTGTTTTCTTGTGAGAATCTCTTCTTCTATCCCACATGCAAATAGAGACTTTCTTTAAAGAAGTCCTGTCTCAGGAATTCCCTTTAAAGCATGAACCCTACTGTAAATGCATTACACTAATTCCACAGTATTAGTTCTGAAATATCTCATCAGGAAAATTAGGCATTTAAAGTCTTGTTTTAATCTGTCAGATAACCTCAGATGTAGGGAAGCCTTTAAAACAAAGCTATATTCTGGAGACTTCACCTACCACAAGATCAGTTCTGTTCACAGACCTGACATCTCTTCTTGCTCCTAGGGTTTAGCTTGGTCTTATGCAGGCAACCAAAAGAAGATAGAAAATCTGCTAATTTTCCCACTCCAGACTTTCAGTTTTCCTTTTCCCTCTCCAGACTTCATGCTTTCCATATATTTTACTTCATCTGTAGATTGTCTACCCCGAGATAGTCTTTAGTGTTCCTATGCTCGCTTCCACAAAATCCTCCTTAAAATCTGCTTTTAGCCATTTGTCTTTAAAACTGATAATCAGCAAATGTAAGGAAAGCTTTTTTTTAACATTTACTGACTGACAATTTCATCCTTCATCCGTCTTCTTAAGCTACTTGCTTGCTCCTTCTCTCACCCACCCTTCTTATGCTACTTGTTTTCTCCTTCTCTCATTTACTTTCTTGGACCAGACTTTCAGGACACTGAGTCTTTGCTTACTGAACATTTTGAAAGCAGATAGCACACTGTGAGCTTTGTCTTAATCCACAAAAAGCACCACCATGCCTTGCCATTGTCAGCAAACCATGTAGCAATGTCAGAGAGGGACAAAACACACTGTAACTTGCATAAAACAGGGGAAAGAAAACACAAGTTGCCAAAGAGAAAGACTCAGAGGAGGCAGAGAACGCATACTTTCTTGCTGAAGTCAGATTAACCTTGATAACGTGGGGTCCTCCCACACTGCTACCTGTTCATGGAATAAATGAGGGTGGTGGCATTATAGGAAGGTTTCTGATCCACAAAACCTCATCTCCATCACCTTGCTATCATTTCACAGATTGTTTCATAGATTTTGAGGTAAAACTATTATGAGTTTACTTTGCCTTCCTGCGGAGCACAGACCATAGAAAATTGCTGTTCCATTTATACATCAAGTCTACGTATTCTGTTGTTTAATACATACAGTCTAACCCTATGTGATTTCAACTTCCTGTAGCAGGATCTTGGCACTTCTGTTTCTGAGGGGTTAAAGAGAGGTCTCTGGATGGATAGATCATCAGGCAGAAATACCAGACATATGGGCAACCACAGGCTTGCAACCAGTCCTTTTCTTCATCTGATCCACATAATAACCTGCTATTTTGTGCTTCTGGTGTTACCTTTGTTTCTTGACTCAAAAGATTCTGCCTTTCCTGAATCTTTTGACTACTGTACCTATGCAGAGTGACAAACTTCCTGTAGAAGAGCACGGTTTGACACAAATTACAGATATCTTCCAGAAGGGAAAGAGCAGCCTATGGACTAATTCATTTTAGCCTGTTACCCTAAAGCAACAGACACTGTGAACATAGTTCCACCTCAACATATTTCCAAACCCTGAAAAAGTATCTCTAAATGTGAGTTTTCCGAAGTCTAAAAAAAAAAATCTGAGATGTTACCTGCACAATGCAGCTAACTCTTTGTTGCAGTTACCTTTCCATTCAATAAAATTTTTCTGATGGATATAATCCTTATGAAATTCTAAGCCTCTCAGGAAGTTATGAGACTTTCCCAGTAGTGGGCGCTTGGTCATAATGTCCTGAAACATTTCATACAACTTCCCTGACAAACAGGATGGAGGCTCGATGACAGTGATATCATCCTCAGGGGAATGTTTTTCTGAAATAGAGAAGAAACTATGAGATAGAGGGAAAAAAAAATCAGCAACCTGTTTTGCCAGACCCGTTTACTGGCTAGCTGCCCTTCTTGTCTTTCTGTGGGTCCCTCTCCTCCCTGTTTCTTGTAGGCTGCTGGAAAACATGTGCACATGACCCATATCATTTAAACAAAGAGATATTTGGTTTTCTTTAAAGCAGCTACAGCTTTTGTCTTTTACTCTTTCAAATGACATACTGGCTTTGTACTTTTGCCCACAAGTAAAAGCCACCCTTCTCATTTGCAGTCATAGGGAGAGTCATATAACAGACCAGGAGGAATTTTGAAATGAAAAACATTTGTAACTAGCATGAAGTGTGGCTCTGGGGAAAAGAAAGGAAGGGAAGGGGCAGGGCAGGGCAGGGCAGTGCAGGGCAGGGGAGGGGAGGGGAGGGGAAAAGAAAAGAAAGAAAATATCACATAGTGATCATTCTGATATGGATTAAAATTATTCTGGAAGACCCACAGTGAGGCAACACAACATGCAATTTAGAGTGAACATGTGAGAGATTATTCAGAAACAGCACCAACAGTGTACATTTCTTAAGCTTCTCCTGAATAGGAAGTATTATCTGGGCAAAAATAAATACTGATTTTTAAACTCTTACCTATATCTACCATATCTTGGGCCCATCGTTCCCAGAACTCATTTGAATTTGAGGACCAGTACAAGCCATCCAGCAAATTCCTAGTAAAGATGTTTGTCCAAAGACCTGCAAATCAAATCACATGGTGAAAATACTGCCCTACCACACGTTAACCACTGACTATTACAAGTATCCATGCATCATATTACTGGCCCACGTAAACAGACCCTGTCATAACACAGCTTAAGCAGTAGGTCTCACAGAGTTCAAAAATAATGGTGTCACCACTTCACCGCTCTTTCTCAAAAGGGAACTACATACAGACCATTCACTGCACAGTAGAGAGTAACAAGAGGTATCAATCACCCAAATGATATTTTAGAGTGTTTACTGTGTAGCTGTGAGAGAAGCGGGCTTTGAAAGCATGGTGAAGCATCAGGGCCTTCTTTAAACCAATTTATTCTTTAAATTGATCTAGGATCCATTTTTCCCTTTCAGGTACATTTTGTTTCTGTGGACTACAACTGGTCCAGGGTCAAAACAGAATGGGCCCCATATGTGAGTCTGCTTTTGGAAAAGAAAGAACTATTCTTTGTCATTAAGCCCCATGCCAGGTACTTACATGAGGAACAAATTCAACCTCTAGCAGACTTCACAGTGAGAGAAATACGTTTTTTGTCTCCACTGGACCGCTGTTTTTGGTATGAAAACTAAAACTCTTGCAAAGATTTAAAATCTGCCTGGGACAGATGGGTTCCTCTGACTAGCTGTTTTTACCCTTTTCTTTACCTTTACTGGCAGAATGGCCAGTCAAGGTAGCTGTTCAAGGTTAAAAGGGCTTCCTTCATCCTTATGGGCAAAGAAGATTAGTGACATCATTCTCAACCCACAAAGCTCAGGTGGCTCTCACCTTTGTGGGTTGTTTTAGATGACATATTTTATTTTCAGATCCCTCCAATTCTACTCCAGTCGTGCATTGTCTAGAAATATAGTTTATGAAGTTGAAGAGTTGATGACTGTTCAGGGAAGGAAGGCTTATTATTTCCTCAACTTGCCTTTTTTACTATCTTGTTTGGTTTAGAAAATGCAAGGGGAACCACACTCCAACTTTCCCAAATCTGCCCAGCTTAAAGGGAGGACAGAAGGAAAGAAGCTTTACAAAGAGCAGAAGTGTACAAAAGGGGTAAAAAGTCCATTGAATCAAGACTAGAGTAGACTTGCTGGCAAGGAGTGTTGTACACAGGCCAGTGGCTAGCTAGTATCATGATTAACTGTATTGCACTGTTAGGTCACCTTCCAGATAGCAGATCCGAGATTCTGGCAGCTTCTTCACTCGCCTTCCCATGAAGAACTTGCTGTCAAAATATTCTGAAGGAATGGAAACTCCATATTTTGGTATGGCTACCTCATAAGGAGAGAAATCTGCCCACTCTACAAAAGAATTGACACATGGCATGCTTACTGTAACAGAACTAAGAAAACAAAACCTTCCTCTGTGGATAAAACTATCCACAAGCTCCATGGATCTTGCTTGTCTCAGCAGCTCGGTACTATTTGTAGCTTTGCAATTCAAGCTGTACCATACACCTCCATACAAACTGAGAGATGATTTGCATACAAAAGGATCTAGCCTTTTCACCTCAGAAAAAAGTCTAACATTAGGTTCAAAGCTTAAATATCTATTTCTATATAAAGATTCTGGAATCCCACTTGCCTCTCTAAATCAAGAGCATCAACTGTACAACATGCAAGTGTGATCTAAACTGCAAGGAATAACTGGCATGAAAGCTAACCCAAACCTGCCAGTCGACGTGATATAACAAAGCAGCCTGAAGACACATCAGCATAAAACTAGAAAGCATCACAGTGTGGGGATGGCCATGCAGTTTCCTGACTCAAGCTGTCCTGTACAGACATTGCAGTAGAACAGTAGCTACAAACCTAACCAAATGTAAGCACTAATTGCTTTTTCCTTCCAGAATCTTCTCATTTTAATACCCTTTCTTTAATGTGGCCTGTGTCCATTTAAAGGGTGTCATATCACAGCAATCATACTCCACTCCATTTTCATACCTTTATCAGTGTAGTATTTAGGGAAGTGACAACTACATTTCCCAGCACCTCTACAAACTAAGGAAGCATCAAAGCCATTTTATAGGTGTGGAACTGAGGCAGAAAAAGATCAGATGATTTGCCCACACTCACTCACAATGTCTGTAGTAGGACTTCTACTTCTACACAATGTCTGTAGTAGGACTTCTACTTCTACACAATGTCTGTAGGATTTCACCCCAGAATTTCAGAAGTGTCCTGTTTACGGCTAAGGATGTTACCCAGCAGATCTGCTCTTTCTAAACCAGTAGTTTGTAAAAAAGACAAACATTTCATTAAAAGACAACTACTGAATCAGGGCAAGCAACAGATATATTCCCCTTTATTTCTCCACACACACACCCCCTCCCTCCAAATTCTCTTTAGTCCATACCCAGAATCAGAAAAAACTCTAGGAACACTTACCTCTAAATTTGAAAGTACCAAACTTCTCGTCTTTCACATTGAGGACTGCATAGAAAGGCAGTGGGTTTTGTCCATGCTCCAATGCTCTGCGCTGGTCTGTGAGTTTGTACTTTCTTGGCTAATCAATGAGGAAAAAAAAAAAAAGCACAGTAAACCTCTGGAAGAGCATAACACTGACACAATTTACCCAAGTACAGATTGATAACAGATATTTTACAACATGGAGGAAACTGTGAGTCACATTTTAATACGAGACCTTTTCCTTCATGTTCCTGAGCTTTCCTTCTTGGTTGCCTTTTTGATACCTAGTAGCTTTTTCATTAGAATATCTAAGTGCCTTGGTTGTCTGCATCCCACAGATCTTTACTAAGGCTGAGATTAATGTTCACATGAGGACAGATTACTCCAGCTCTTAAGTGTCAAATTACAAACAGATTTTAAAAGATCTGACTATTCAGGGGGGTAGGTGCAGGAATTTCTCAGCTCTTTCTGAAAGTTTCCCTCCTGAATTTCCTAGCTTTTGGGTACCCTAGTACAGAGGCACCTTCAAATCATTATCTACTCTGGAAAATCCTGACTCCAAGATCTTTGTCATAGTTTACAAATCACACTGGGATGTCTCAGTCTCTTTGAATTTGTTACACACATTACATCATGCTCTCAAAGAGTAAAGCTCTAAAGAAAATGAGTGGATGTTTCTCAGTTGTTAGGCAGGACCATGTACATACCCGTTCATGTAAGAACATTTCCTGAACAAGTGACCACAGAGTTGTAAAAGATGACACATGTCCTGCTTTTGCCCTTTCAGTGAGTTCCTTGTGGTAATACTTCAGATGGTCTATAGACATAAGATTGAGTTTGCATTTTGTGACTTTTTCTTTTACTGCCTTAAGTGGCTCCTCTAGAGACTTCTGTGACCAGTCAGCATGCTCATACAGGTCTGCTAGAGTCCTAAGCAGCAGAAATGTGAGAAAATTGACCATTTATTTAGATGATTTTGGAAAATTGCAATATTTACACGATCACTTTAATCAACAAAGAAAATCTGTAAGCCCAAACTGAAGTTATAATTGAGAAGCAACAGTAAGAGCTTCACCAGGCAATTATGTTCACTTGTTAACAATGTAAGTCTTTAAAAGAGATGCATCTCTCTCACTGCGTGGAAACGTAGTCAAAGTCATTCCCAATAAACCTCATTTTCTATACTCACCATGTTGAGCCAGAAGCCCCAGTGAGATAGGTAACACAGTCCAACAGATTTAGCTTCTGAAGAGCTAAGAGGTGGCCGAACATTGCTGACATTGCTCTGAGACCTCCGCCTGTTGCCATAACAGCTATTACTGGGACCTGTTCAAAATATAAGTATTATCCTCACAAAGCTACTCCCTTGCCTACTTGGAAAAGTCTATTTACAGCTCATAGGATTTCCTCAGCAGATTTCATTGGAGGACAATGAAATTAAATCAGTATTTAGCCTGTCTTTACCAGTACCTTCTTTAAATTAACCTCCAGATCTCAGTGGGTTTTCTTAATCCCAAAGCTTGGATGAATTTCAATACACAATGATTTTAACTCTCCTTTCTACCCTTGCTCTTTATAATTGGAATTGCAATTATTATTAATAGATAATAATATGATTTTATTAAAAATAACAAAAAATTGCAGTAAATGCAATTAAGAATGGATAAGGAAGTTTTTTGAACTTAGCAGAATTCAAAAAACCCAAAATGATTCTTTCGACAGCATTTTTTTGCTTCAACAAATATAATTTCAACAAGAAAACATATTTTCCCTTAAAAATTCACCCTGGATCTTGGCAACTAAAATACTTCATCTTGTTATAAAATGTTCTTCCTTCACCCCAAACAATTTTGACTTTTTGTGGGAAGTGTTCTGAAAATGAAAAAAAAAAAGGTAAGCCTAAAGAAGGGACATTACCATAATTTAATAAATATCTATGTGAGGTGAATTTCCAATACTCCTGTTTTCCTGTTGGTTTGGGTTGTCTGGCTAGGCTGTATCTAACACAATACCCTATATCTTGCTGACCCACAGCATTGCAGCGTTGAATCTCTGGCTTTGAAGAGTGGTATATTATGCCCTTGGGAATTCGGCCCATTGAAAAGAATAGAGGCATGGATAGCTGAGCTGAAATTTTACATGAGTAGGGGGTATGTCACACTGAGAACTTCTGTTCTGCTGCCAATCAAATCTATGGCTATGTTATCAACATGCAAAAACTACTAGAAATTTTGTGGGGACTTGTGCCAATCCTAATTCAATAGACCCACACACCATGCTTGGATTCCAATTCACAGACCTCGTGTCCATGTAGATCTCTTTTCAGATGAAGAACCCTTTTCAGGGCACCGGCAACCACTCTCTTCCTTTTTTGCAAGAACTGTTGCTCTTCTTGGCAGAGATCATACCCGAAGCGCACATCTAGTTTTTCTGTGCTGAAATATAAATAAATCCAGAGGTACGGGATTGGTGTTTAAAATGCATATGGATTTATTTTCAGCAACTTCAGTCTACTAAATATCATAAAAAATCATGATTCCTTGTTCACATTTAAACAGAAACGCATCTTCCAGTTTCAAGGAAATCAACTGCTTTGCTTCTACGTGGTGTCTTTATTGTCTGATGTTTCAGTGTAAGGTTTACTGTCAGCTAAGGATAGCAAATATGAAAAGAGAAAGGCTTTGTGTCTTTCAGTAGCTTTGTAAATTGAGTCCTTTCTATTTCTGCTTCAAATCATTTCTGAGCAAAGGGTGTCTTGAACCTAACAAGGTCTTTCATGGGCATTTCTAACACACAAACAATGTGATGATAAAGATATTAAAATAATTTTTGTTTGTTTGTTGTCTGACTCATTACTTTACAATGTAACATTTTGTCTTTCCTAGCTTATACTTCTTTCTACTGATATCATCAGAACCACAAGTCTATTTTCTTCAGAGCACCTATGTGGTTTGAGTAATGTATGGACTCTGGATGTTTTGCTTGTTTCAAATTTCCTTTTCCCTCTGCCTTCTTCCTGTGTCCTTTTTGAAGAAGCCTTCAATCTCAGTCTTTGGTTCTTTGATGCAAAGGACACTCAGTGACTAAGTTCTTCACTGTTTGAAACTCAAAATTTCTTCTGCATCTTGGTGTGACTCCTTTGCCCCAAGGACATCTAACTTTGATCTATTGTGGTGACTCTTTAATGGTGAGTTTTGTTATATTTTGCCTCTAGTCTTGTGCATTCCTTGTATCTAAATAAAAGATACTCTGTTCTAGATTTCACAGTTCAAAAAGCAATAAAACCTTTAGAGAAAAATAAAACATTCCTCTTACCAATCATTAAGTTGGAGGTACAGCTGCAGTGGCACTTTCTGTAAACAAAGAAATAAGAGCAGGAACGTGAATGAGTGGGAAAAAGAAAAGCTTTGAAATCCAAATTTTCAGTGTCTCCTGGAATATCCCACCACTACCACCCTGCATACTTTAAAAAAAAAAAAACTGTAGCAAGAAAGAAGTGGAAAGCAACACCAAGCATATTGTACAGAGAAGTAAAAGAGGCAGGAGGGGTCAAAGTGGCTAGATGGACAGGCTGTGAAACAGGATTTCTTCCTCACTGTGAACATACCTCCATGAACCATCCTAACCCAGCAGCAGTATCACATTGCCACCCTCTGCACCCAAATGCATTGGTTGCATTCACTGCCACACAGTAAAACTTACACTGAAACATCCCTGAGGATGAAGAAAAGCAGCCAGATAAAGACAGTGATAGAAGTGATAAAAGAGGAAATACAAGTCATCTCATCCTTTCAAAAAGCTAGAGGTAAAAGATAGTACAAAAAGAGACGTGGGGAATCACTAGTGGCAAAACAAACATTCATTCTCCCTTCTCGTTACAGGAAAGGCTGCTGAAAATTCAGGGAAATTCTTCTCGGCCTATTTTTCCTTGTCTTTTGCTGCATGATCCGGAAAAGGATGTCTGGCTATTGTTAACAGATTCACCTGGCCACATGGTAGCATTACTGCTGCTCTTATAAAGCAACTTAGAATTGTACCTCTGCACCAGTCACCATCATGACTGTACACTTAGAAGAACATGGCAGCATTTTTTTCTGAGGGCATGATTCAATGCATCTAACTTTAGGCATCTAAAATTTAGGTATATAAACTGTAGTAGCCACCGAGGCTTGATAAAGAGCAGTAGGACATCCCAAAACCTTGCTAAGGGTATCAAACATTCTCCTTTAACTGTAAAAGTACAGCAGAGATTGGTCTGAAATACATTTCAAACTGGCCAGGATGAATTCCCAATTATTGATTTTATTGACAAAAAATTCATATTTCTTTGAGAAAACTAACCTTTTTCATAGAAAACCTGTATTTGCCCAAAATTCTCACTCAGATTTACTAAATTTTTTTTTCAATATTATGGTGTTAAATACTGAGAGTTATTCTATTCTTCTCTCCAAAAGATCATATAAATTGTGAAACACTTACATGTCTTACAGGGAGAGTTACTTTCACTCTATGTCCAACAGGGAGAAATTTCAGTGGTACTGTTAAGGTGTCACTTAAATTGCTGTTGTCATTTTCCTTATCAGAAACTTTCTATACAAAACAAAAAACATGGGTTGTATTCACAGTAGAAACAATCCAGTTCTTTGCTATTTTGGTGACACTGTAAATAAGCAAGCAGTATGAACAGCAGTAGCATATAATGCCCATTACCTGCAGCCTGGCTTTTAGAATTGGCTCCCAAGCCTTCAAGCAATGGAAGTAGAAAGTATCTGTGTCCTCTACAGTCTTCTGTGTTCCCTCGTGAGAGGCAGGCACGCTAAGCACGAGATTTTTACCCTCTAGCAAAAGAGAATAATACTGCTGTTCAGGTAAAATAGCTAACAAAGTTGACAAACTTTCTGCTGGAGTAATTTTCTGTGGTAGCTTCTCTGTAAGCTGCCACACTGGCAAGTCTCCTACAGCACAGGAACTGGTACTCCTGCCTTTACCCTATAGCTTGGAGTGCTCCCAGATCCAGCACCCTCTCACACTTCCACCACCAAAGTTTACTGTATCCAAACTTGATAGCTTCAAGAAAAAGACACAGAGATCAGCATTACAACTGAAGGTAGTTCAGGGACTTTCACTGCATTACATTTTATTGTTTAGAACATATATAATTATATATTTTTATATATATATATGTATGTATGATTTAGAACATTCTTAGTTGTCTCTGGGTCTGAATGACTATGATAGGGTTGATTTGGGTATGTCCTCAGCTCACAGAGAAATTTCCATACCTTTCAAATATTTCCTGCTTTCATTAATGTCCACTTGCACTTCCAAGCAGCAAACCTCACGGGACTGTAAAAGACAGGAGTAGAAAAGGGTGAAGATAGCAAATGCCACATCTGCAGCAAATAATGAAGCATCATGCGGAAAACCACTACCTACAATATAAAGCAAACGGAACTGGTCACAGTGCTGGAAGCAATCAAACTGCACAAGAGTAAATTCAGAGCTCATTATTCCAGGACAGTAGCCCAGTTGCACTGTTTCAGATTGTCCATAAAGTGGTGTTTTGTCAGAGATGGTTAACCCATTCAAGTTATCCCAAAATCAGGAAACTCTGTACAACACACTGGTGCCCAAACAGTTACATATATATCTAATAATTATTAGGAAGGGTGGGGGAAAACATCTGATGATGAGTTTCTGTGTATTATGGCAATGATTAGTCTACATGGCATCTTCTTACTGGTCCTGATGTAGGGAAATCATGGATTTATTTCACCCTACCCTCCACCTGAGTCAATCCAGTTCACCTTTAATAACTCATGCCAGGACAGTTTTTCAAGTCATCTCAGGAACAATGCATGCCAATCATTACAGCTCTTATGCCTCACACAGAAAATAAGGGGGAAACAACAGAATATGCGTTACTTTACCTCAGGGGTACTAAGGACTAGCATCTGGAAACCATGAGCAGGCTTGGAGTGGTTGGCATGAAGTACTTTGTACTCCTTAGCCGCAGGGCCAGCCCAAGGAGATAGGTAATGTACCACATGCTGACTAATACCAAAACAGAGCTCTATGTTTCAACAACTAAAATAACTCTTCATTAAAAAACTCATTTCCCAAAAAGGTGTTACATTACATATCCTTCCAGTCATAAGCACACTGAATACTTACTACTGTCTGCTACAGACTCATCCCTTTTAGAACCTTTATTTTTCCTGCCAAGTGCCATACTGTATTACATGAAATGCAAGCTGTTTTCACTTTAAACACCAACAAATATGGGGTCTGTGACATTAACAAACAACAGCTTCACAACATATTGACATCTGTAATATCTGAGGACTTCAAGAAACACAGCTTCTGTTTTTGCATGGAGAGGGCAACAGTTAAGCCGTAACAAATGGGAACTGTCCCACATCTTTCACTTTATAATGCACACTATGCTCTTCTCTATCATAGTAGTTTCTGCTCTCTCTATAAAATTACAGATATATTCCAAGGAGAATACATTGGAATGAAGGAGAAGAAGAATACAGGGAAGAGGAGAGAATCAAAATGAAGGAGAATTCACTCCAAGATAAATACATATGTGAACCTTACCACTAGGACATCATTGGTAATGAGGCGCTCTGGAGGGCCAGGGCTGAAAAGACATAATCCAGTTACAATAACAAACACATGAAAGCCATTTGAGTATCTGGGTTGCTGGTTTTTCTTTTAAAATAGCATTGCTATGACCTTTCCTACTTAAAACTGAATATAGTTATTTTATCACAATTTGTTTTCTAAAAGGCAAAATACACAATCACCTGCTAAGCACGTGAACCAAAATATAGTAGCCAAACAAGAATAAGGACAGGAAAGCCCATAAAATAACAATGCTTAAAACTATATGCTAAGATACAGCAGAACAAAGACATACTGATCTGTGTGGGATCATGTCCTGCTATTAACAAATGACCATATGACTCGGGGAAAGCAAAGACTACTATTAATGTGTTCTGAAAATACTTATTAGAAAAGACATTTCTGACTGTTCCAGATTATAATTTATGGCTGATCACAAATGAATGGCAAATAAGAATTAGCTCCCACTGTGCTATATGTATGACTGCAAAACACAGAGGTAAGCAATAAAAATCTTTGTCCCAGATATTTACCTTGTAAGACCTAGGTCTGTCACTGAATGGATGTGGTTATTTAATAATATGAGTAACCTATAGAGTCTAAGAACAGCACCTTTCATTAAGGCAAATATTCCAACACTCCTATGTTACATACATTCATGAGTGTTTTCATATATCTGAAAGGACCATTAAAGTTATGTAGCATGCAAACTTTGACTTTGTGCAAAGTCCAGGGTATATTACCAAAAACCACTTTCAGCCTTAAAAATTCTATTTCAGCTGTAAAATGTCTTTAAATGTAAATAGCTAGGTTTGACTTCCAAGAATGGAGAATCCCCCACATGCCTTGTAACTTGAATGGTGAAAGGCATTCCTCTTATTTCTAGTCTAGTTCCCAAGCACTGTGTCTCACTCTGAACTTCTCATGTAGCTGTGATTGCTTCCACATTTGCAGGAGATGATTACAACTCTCTTAAGGTATCTCTCATAAATATATTTTCCTGAGTTTCACTGTGGGAGAAATTAACCAAGAACACCAGTGATTTTCACAGAATCACTGAATATGCTGAGTTGGAAGGGACTCACAAGGATCAGTGAGTCCAATCCTTAGCCTTGTACAGGACCATCTCCAAGAGTCATACCATGTGCCCAGGAGTATCATCCAAACACTTCTTGAACTTTGGCAGCCTTAGTGCTGTGACCGCTTCCCTGGGGAGCCTGTTCCAGTGCCTGACCACCCTCTGGGTGAAGAAGCTTTCTCTAACATCCAACCTAAACCTCCCCTGACACAACTTCTCACCATTCCCTCGAGTTCTGTCACTGCCACCACAGAGAAGAGATCAGTGCCTCCCCCTCCTCTTCCCATCACAAGGAAGTTGTAGAATGCAATGAGGTCTCCCCTCAGTCTCCTCTTCTCTAGGATGAACAGACCAAGTGACCTCAGCTGCTCCTCATACGGCTTCCCCTCAAGGCCCTTCACCATCTTTGTTGCCTCCCTTTGGACACTCTGTAAGAGCTTTGTATCCTTCTTACATTGTGGCACCCAAAACTGCACACAATATTCAAGGTGAGGCTGCTCCAGTGCAGAGCAGAGCAGGACAATCCCCTCCCTTGACTGGCTGGTGATGCTTTGCCTGATGCCCCCCAGGACACGGTTGGCCCTCCTGGCTGCCAGGGCACTGCTGACTCAGATTCAACTTGCCTTCAACCAAGACCCCCAGGTCCCTTTCCATGGCACTGCTTTCCAGCATCTCATCACCCAGTTTGTACAAACATCTGGAGTTGCCCCATCCCAGGTGCAGAATCCAGCACTTCCCCTTCATATGATTGATCAATTTGTCGAGGTCTCTCTGCAAGGCCTCCCTGCCTTGGAGGAAGTCAACAGCTCCTCCCAGTTTGTATCATATGCGAACTTGCTTAGTATCCCTTCCAGTCCCGTGTCCAAGTCATTTAGGAAGATCTTGAAGAGCAGAGGGCCCAAGATGGAGCCCCATGGAACTCCACTAGTGACAGGTCGCCAGTTTGATGTTACCCCATTCACTATTACCCTCTGTGCTCGACCTGTGAGCCAATTGCTCACCCATCACATGATGTGTTTATCCAGCTGTGTGCCGGACATTTTGTCCAGAAGGATCCTGTGAGAGACAGTATCAAAAGCCTTACTGAAATCCAAAAAGATTACATCCTCTGGCTTCCCCTGATCAACTAGGTGGGTTACCTTGTCATAAAAGGAAACCAGGTTTGACAAGCAGGACTTTCCTCTCATGAAGCCGTGCTGGCTCTGATCAATGACAGCGTTGTCTTTCAGGTGTTTTTCAATACTTCCCAGAATAATCTTCTCCATAACTTTACCAGGCACTGAAGTGAGACTGACAGGCTTGTAGTTTCCAGGTTGCTCCTTCTTGCCCTTCTTAAAAACCAGAACAACGTTCACCAGCTTACAGTCATCTGGGACCTCTCTGGATTCCCAAGACAGCTTGAAAATCATCAAGAGAGGTTTTGCAATGACATCAGGCTCTTTGAGGATTCTGAGATGAATCCCATCAGGCCACATAGATTTGTAAGGATCCAGCTGGAGCAGCAGGTCCCACACAATTTCAGGGTCAACTGGGAGTTGATCATTCTCACAGTCATGGCCCTCCAGCTCAGGGCACTGGGATCTCCTTGGTCCGTCATCCGTGTTGAAAACAGAGGTAAAGAAAGCATTAAACATCTCTGCCATATCTCTGTCCCTGTTTGTGAGGTGACCATCCTCATCCTGTAACAGGCAGACGATATCTCTATACTGCCTATTGCCATTAACATATTTGAAAAAACTTTTTATTGTCCCTCACAGTTCTGACCACCTTCAACTTCAGTAGAGCTTTGGTCGCACAAATTTTCTCCCTACAGTGGCAAGAAGCATCTCTGAATTCTTCCATGTCACTTGACCTTGCTTCCCCTGGAAATACATCGTTTTTGCTTATTTTGAAGAGAGAAGATTCCTGTTCAGCCAGCCTTCTGCCTTGCCTGCTTGATTTCTGACACTTGCAAATTGCTGCTCCTGTGCCCCTAAGAGGCGGTGTTTGAAAAGTGACCAGCACTGATAGACCCCGGCACCTGCAAAAACCTTTTCCCAGAGGACCTTATTTACTAATTCCCTGAGCAGCCCAAAGTCTGCTCTCCTCATGTCCAGAGTTGAAGTTTTGCTGGCACTTTTCCTCCTGTCAACAGAGATTTTAAACTCAATCGCTTTGTGGTCACTGTGGCCAAGACAGCCACCAATCTCCACTTCCCTCACGAGATCCAGTCTGTTGACAAGCAGCAGATCAAGGAGAGCATCTTTCTGAGTCAGCCCCCTTAGGACCTGTTCCATGAAGTTTCATCCAAGCGTTTCAGAAATCTTCTGGCCAGTGTTGTACCAGTTGTGTGATGCTCCCAGTTGATTTCTGGCAAGCTGAAGTCCCCCATAAGGACAAGGGCAGTTGATTTGGAAGTGTCCCTGAGTTCCTCAAAGAAGAATTCGTCAGTGTCACAGTCCTGGCTGGGAGGTCTGTAGCAGAGTCCCATAATATTTTGCCCCTTGATTCTTATGCAGAGGCTCTCAACTATGTCATTGCCAACTATGAGCTCCATATGTTCTAACCCTTATATTACATACAGTGCTACCCCTCCACCTCTTCTGCCATGCCTATCCCTCCTGAAGAGCCTGTAACCGTGCAATAGGGCACTCCTGTCACAGGTCTCATCCCATCAGGTTTCACTTATGCCAATGATGTCAAATCTCTGGGACTGGGCCAAAGCTTTGAACACCTCTTTTTGTTCCTCATGCTCCATGCATTGGTATGGAAACAATTCAGGTGTGGTACATTATAGTCAACACCTCCTGAGGCAGACTGCAGGACCCCAGTAGGGTTTTCTCAAGTTTTGGCACACCATCCCATCGCTCATCACTGGTGAGCCTGGTTTTGTCCCTTTCCCCTTACCAAGCTGGTTTAAAGCTCTGTCAACAAAACCTGCTAGCTCCTGCTCTAAAACTCTTTTTCCCCTCTGAGATAGGTGCATCTCATCAGGTTTCAGCAGACCAGGTATTAAATAGATCATCCCATGGTCAAAAAACTCAAAAGTTTTCCAATTACACCAACCTTGGAGCTACTCACTGACCTGACAGATCTGCCTATTCTTATCAATATTATTCCCTGTTACGGGAAGGATCGAGGAAATTACTACGTGTGCTCCTGATCCCTCTATCAATTGTCCCATGGCCCTGAAATCTCTTTCGATTGCCCTAGGACTTCTCTTTATTATTTCCTCATTGAACGACCAGTTCAATGACCAGTTTGAATGACCAATATCACATAGTAGTCAGAGGGCCTTACTAGACTGGACAGTATTCTAGTAATGTGCCTTACCCGAATGCCCAGGAGACAGCAGACTTCCCTGTCTGAATACTGGGCCCTCTGTTCCCCTTAAAAGGGAGTCTCCTATTACAACTACTCTTCTATTCCCGTTAACAGAGGAGGTCTTGATACCTGTTACAGGTGGTGTTGTTTTAGGAGGCCCCACTACACCAAAAGAACCTCATCAGTTGTCTGGCGTCCTAGTTCCAGAGCTTTACATCTGTTACAGAAGGTACCCGTCCTACCTGTCAAATTTTGAGAAGAAGGAGGAACTTTCCTTTTTTCTTCATGTTTAAGAATAAGAAGCCTTATTTATAGCTCCTTTTTCTGATCATGCAATTAGTTGGTTTTGACTGGGCTACATTCTTTTCTTTTTGCTAATTCGAAGCTCAAATACGCCAGAATGTGCAGTTAAGCAGGTTTTCTTCAACCAAACTTGTGATAGCTTTTAAAAGACAGATAAAGTTTATCTTACTGGAACTTCTTCTCCTCCAGACAATGCTGATCACCACTTTGAGGGGGATGGTCTTAATTTTATTACTTGTTGATTGTATTTTTTTCAGTTTGACTAAGCTATCACCTAATGGTTAACTTTTCTAATACTGTCTACATAACTCTATGTATAATCATACAAGACAAGTTTCATGGTCTCTGAGAAACTCCACAGTGTTCTAGGCATTGTTCAATTAATATTAACAATTTGAAGAACACCTATGTTACGTTTTGCATGCATCTTGTGTAAAAGTTACCACATTGTGCCAATTTTATACCATTTCTAGGATCTGGATGTACATGTTGAACAGAAGTTTAAGATTTGTGTGAAATACCCTGAAAGGTGGAATTAGCTAGAGAAGTTAAGGTAAAAAAAAAAGTTTGAAACTGTAATATAGGTTCACTGCTGGGATAAAGAGCTGGAAGAAGTTTCTCTTTCTCTGAGATATTATTACTCCCTGGAAGATCATTACCTTCTAGCTTTGGAATTTTACTCACATTCTTTCCATCCAGAATTCCACTTCCAAACTTTCCCATTTCTTAGCACACCGCTCTGTCTAAAAAGAAATTGGTAAAATAAGTATACATTATTGGAAGCTGTAAGAATTTGGCAGCATAGACACACCTAAAAAGCACTTCTATGGCTGATATCTCTCCTGCTTATGATACCAAAAAAAGCTCTCCGTTATGTCTTTCCAAAGCTGAAATTGCAATGGAAACCACAGACTTGTGAATGGCATGTAAGATTAATACTCTCCCATTGTATGATATGTAGAACAATACACATTTCCAAAGATACCATCGGAGAGGGAAAGCTTGACTGAAAAGGAAATATAATGGCTTTCTGCAAGATAGTGTGCATGGAAGAAAGGCAGTGAAGCCCAGCAACAAGTCAGACTAAGGCCAGAGACATTTCCACATACAAACCATTTAAATCACATTTACACTGAATCCAGAAGAGATGAATTAGACAAGTGACTGAGGAGGTTATTGAATCATTGCATTTCCCAGTGACTCACCCACTGGCTGAGAAGTGCATGGCACCAGCTAGCAAGGAAAACCCATGTTAACAGCTTTCAGCACTTGGGAAGTAGCTGTTCTTATGGGCTGTCTCCTTCCTGCAATGAGCGTGTAGCAATACCTCAGCCACAGCTCAGACAAGCCCAGGAGTTGCCACAGACCTATCCCACCTTGTTTCCTGGACAACTCTCTTTCACGGGCTCCTTAATAAAATACCAAAGATGTTAGCAGAACAGACATTCTTTTACTATGCACTAGAGAAATTTGAATCACCTAGAAGGAAACACGGTATGAACGCCAACGGGAGAAGCCTGAAAGCATCATTTAATTCAAGTGATGAGTGAATTGCCTTCATGTTTTTAATAAATAAGTTGCCATTTAAGCAGAAATGTCCTCTAAGAGTGGCAAAAGTGGAATAAAGCTGAAAGGTAAAGAAGTTATTTATTTGGATTATAAAATATAAAAATTATTATTTACAGGTTCTTCCTGATAAAATATTTTGCTTCCACAGAGCATGAGAGAGAAGCTACTTCTTTTCTGAATTTGTAAAAAGAGATTACTGAAGTCACAAAAATCCAGAAAAAATTATATCTGTTTTGATGAGGTATCAGTAATGATATATAAGGCTGTCTCTTTATGAAGATCCAAACTCAAAATGGAAGCCAATGTGGACAATACAGTTTTGTCAATCACTCCCTGTATTTTCAGCTCTTACCTCTGATTTCAAGGCAAATGTCTCGCGGATTGTCTCCCCAGGTCTGACTCTAGCAACATTAAAAAGAACTGTGAACTGCACATCATCTTTGGTGAGAGGATCTTCATCACACACTGCCAATTCTAAAATGTTCTAGTAGTAGAAAAAAATAAATAAGAACACTTATTGAGCTTCTGTTATACGTAAACAAAAAAAGGGTTATAAATTTTTGCAGTTGCTTCACTAGCACACTGGTAAAAATAAAGAAACATGTGCTTTCCTTCGGGAGTTTGCTAATGTGGAACATTATTAAACCCAATATTGGGAAACCTATGAAACAGAAACCAACTACCTAAGAGAGACATGATTCAAGAGATGTCAGTGCTCTGCATCAAACTGATAACCCACCCAAAGAACACATTTATTTTCTTCATCCCCCAAGTTCTCTCAATTACACAGTTTAGAATAGGATTAAATTTGTTGTCTACAACACAGCAACTTCTCTAGTCTTCCCTCAGAACCAGTGGAGGGAGAGCTCTTTCTACATTAGCCATTCAAAACAGCACAGAAGAAGCTGCTACAACAGTGCTTATTTCACTCAGGTGACAACAAAGGGAATCTGGACTACCTTAGATACAGGCATTTACATCACAAATGTCTGTAACTAGCTGAGGGAAACACTACTGCTTATGTCTACTGTTCTGTGCAAACCATACTGATACACAAGCATTTTCTTAAGTTATTTAGCACAGTTGATCAACAGAGTGTCAGCTGAGGATTCCCAGATATTCAAAATGGTGAAATTTCTATTTTTTTACTACCTCAACTTCTCTCTGGATCCTAAAGTAGAAAGTCTCATTCCAGACAGGGTTGTCAGAATTCTTGATGGTTTTGGTCTGAAGCTTTCCATTTGAAGCAGATGGCAGCCACAAGCGCACATAGCAGTCTGATGCAGTCACTGCAGCAGAGAAAAATTAAAAACCTAATGCCAATGTTATAGATGAAAAGTAGGGCTAGGCCATAATCCTAGGGAATTAATAAACATTATTACTTATTTGTTTTGTTTTTTTAGTTAGTAAAGAGATCGTCAGCTGGAAACAACAACAACCAAGGAAAACCACCTAATTCCTGATTAACTACAAATTGCAAATGTGTACACATGCACGTACAAAGTACACTAAAAGCCATGTTTCCCATGTGAAGAGAAAGAGGTATAAAAGACCCCACTGACCATTCAGTGAGCACAGTCCTTACAATTCAAGTCAATGATGTTAAAAAAGTTTAACTGAAACTACAGCTAGTTCCAAAAAGGGCTGTTAGGATGATTACAGGAAAGGAGAATGCATATTACAGAAAAGATCAGAAGAGACTGGCTCGCTCAGTCTAGCAACACAAACATGCAGAGGTACAAAATGGCTGTCTAGAAGGGTTAGGTACTAGGGCAGATGATCTGCTGCAGCTAAAGGCTGGTGTGGGCCCAAGAACAGGAGAGCATGAGCAAGTCGGAAATCTTCATGTCACTTCCAGCCTACATCTAGTCCTTATGGTTAGTGCGGTCAGTGCCTTGAGCAGCCATCCTTTGGGGAGAGCCAGGGTGGGAAAGCACATTTACTTTGTGAAGCTTGACAACGGTGTGAAAGGAAATCTCCAGGGTGATGTCTTTCAGAGCTGGAGTCTGGACTTGACTGAAGATGTCTACTGCAGCCCGAGATGCCTAAATACTTCAGACTGGTATCAAGCAGTGAATAACATTGCCCCGCAAGGTTTTGGCAGGAAAGTGGACCTGTCCCTTCAATAGAGTAGATATAAGAGATCATTGAAACTCAGAAATACAGGTCTTGTCGCTCTAACCCCTTTCTAGCGTCCCCCTCTGGACAGTGCTACATGGCATTTGCCACCAGAGTACAGGAAGCCCTTTGGCTGGCAGTAACTCCACCAACGAGGATTTACTCCCTCTGGTCTCCCTCTCATCCAGGCTCAGCCCTGAATGGAAAGACACAAATGGTCTCTGCTGTAACTCAAGGAAATCGTTGCAAAGTGATGCTTTTTTTGGCTGAATGAGTCATTTTTCACTAGAGGAATACAGAGGCTAGAAGTTTCAAGTGTGACAAAAGGCAGCTCACGGTTTCCGCCCTAACTGAGGAACCCACGGGAGACCACTGCAAAAATGGCAGCTGAATGGTCCACAGCACACCTTGAGAAGGAGCCATAGGAGGCTGTGAGGGTGAGATAATGAGTTAAAGACAGTTGAACACAAATGTACTAAGAAAAGTCTGTTTTGCCCTCATGTTCAGCATGTGCTTAGGGCTGGATCCACAGAGGCCCTCCTTAACCAAAACTACCAATATAATTTAATGTGACTGGTCATTGGAGAACAGCAAATACCCTGAAAGATAAGATATTTTAGAAGTCTTGAAATTCTCTAATTTACCTTTGATTATTGCATACTATTGTACATGATTTCATTAAAAGGTGCCTAAATACGTGGCCTGTGTGGCAAAATTCCTGTCCGTTATACGATTTTTACCAATTAGAAACATCAAAACCAAACAATTCCAAGCAGATTTATAGAGTGCGGTGTTCTCACAAAGTCTATTTTCCCTTGTTGGCCCAAAAAATTTAACCGTGTGTCTCGATTTTTACCAGTTCCCTGAAATGCCACTAGAGATGTATTCAAATCTAAGGATACCTCAGGCATTTGATCTAATTATAGCCCTGGCATTAATATTTCTATTGCTGTGCTTTATGTACATTGCTTGCATACCTTCAGAACTTAAGAATATTGCTCACTGTGTCACTTAGGTGACTAAAAATACAATCAAACCACAACTCACACAGGTCTCTTGACTTGATGTTCTTAGCTTGTATGATTCTTACAGAAAGCATGTGGAGGGGGCAAAACTTCATCTGCAAAGAAAACAAATACAATTTGTTCAGAATACAAAACCAAGATGTACTTTTAACAGCACAGGGCACAGTCTGTCATTCTGCTTGTCTGTTTGACGTGAGGTACTCACCCTCCAGTTGAAGTACACCATGCTAAGACGGTAACACAACTGCACAATATGCAGCTACTTGCTAAGTAGTTTGAGTAAATGAAGAGAGAGAGAAAACACAGACTCAGACAATGGCATGGAAAGCTCTCATAGTCACCCTAGAGGTGCCTGTTTTCATGCAGCTTGCTGCATGCACAGCCACAGTGCCACAAGGAGGTCATAACGGGGCCCGTGGAAGGGGATACTAGGAACTTGCAGCTGCCTGCCCAGGTCATGGAACAGCACTGACAGTAGGCCAGGACGTGGTACTTACCAAAGTTCTCTATAAACTCCTGACTTTGTATCCCAACTAGGACTAAATTACCATGACACTTGTAAGTAGGTTAAGCTCACCAAAACGTCCTAACAACTTTAAGTGAACAGTGCACAGGCCTGGCACAGACCCTTCAGATGAAGAAAAAAGTGCCCTGCTTTGCAGGAATGGTATCACAGAATCCTGTATCATTATGTATCCTGAAAATACCTAATGGGAATGGAACCACTTCCCTTCCAGACATGAGATTTATTTCTATCACAGGCAAGCTACCATTGTAATACTTATTTCAAGTTACTTGTTCCTTACTCTTAACAAAAAATTAAGTTTTTCAGCCTAAGCTGGTCAGAAAATACTTGGCATTTTCAAAACACATTCTCATAAGTGTGAACAAACACACATATGAACCATGACAATCTTAATGATTGAGAGAAATATTTCATTCTTTTTTCAAATTGGTACACATAAAAGTTTTTTTTTACTTTCTGCTCTTTTATCTTTTTTTGTTTGTTTGCATATTAGAGTGGCTCTTCAGCAATAATACGCAATAATAACATGCTGTCCCACTACCATTAATAAATTAAAACTTACAGCTTAAACTACACACTGACTGAAACATTGTCTCAATTTGTCTAAATGAGAGAATCCCAGTACACTGTAACTAAATAATTTCACAATTTTATTTTGAAAGTTAGCACCATGATTAATTTTCCTGACACTGAAATGATTAACTTTGGAGAGACAAACTGTTGGAGAAGGAGGAGCTTCTCTACAGAAGGAGTCACTCAATTGCAGTTAATCTGAAATTCTTTTAAAATGGGGTGGAGACTGCTGGACTTGTTTATTAGCAATTAAAATAACCCGCATTCAGTTTAATTCAGGCTTATTTTGAGGTAAATTATGTTACCTCAAATGGAGAGCAACTGATCTGTAAAGTAGCATGTTGAAAAGAAGGCTTGATATTAAATTTTATTATGTCAGTTTTAAAGTTATATACTTTTAAAATTCAGATTAATATTAAAGAGTCACCCTGAGCAGAGAAACCCTGCTGTTGAACCTACAAAATCACATTACTCTGTCTCTTGGTCTCTTAATGGTTGATTGAAACACTGCTTGTATAAAAATGCAAGACAAATTTGTTCTTGTGTGGCAAGAATCAGTTCTATTATGTGTTACTCCAAATTTAAAATTGATATTTTTAAAACTTTCTGAGTTTACTGCATTGTGGACATTACAGTTCCAGCTGAGAGACTTCCATATTATTACAGTTGCCCACTGAAAGAATTTTACTATAATTTTCCTGTGCAAATAGTTATTTGACATAGAACTACCAAATGGAAAACTCACTCAGCATTCCTTGTGGTTTTCATTTGCATAAATTATTGGATTATGCAGACAAGTACAGAGGTGACTGGTTTTAATTAATATGTTATTTTGTTAATGTTATGTTATTTTGTAATCAGCTTCCTCCTTGCTCAACAGAAGCCCAAACCATTCTCAGAGTCTGCCTTCACTGAAGAAATGGATGTTGATATAAAATTTGCTTTGAACCATTTGTGATGAAAAAACGGCTTATAAAAATGGTGCATCTGCAGTTCATCATCAGAGTACTCTCAGTTGTAATAGATGCTGTGTTTTCATCCTTTCCCACTAGAGCCAGAGACCCTCACTCCTCCTCCCTTTCCCTTTCAACAGCAATCACTTTGCTTAAACATGTCAACATCTGCCCACAAATGGAAATATAACCAAAGATGACTGTTCGCTACTTCCGATTCAGTGCATCTTAGCCCTGACTTTGTTGCAGTTCTGCAACATGTTCTGAAGGGGAAATGTGGCCATAACAAACCCTATGGGCTGTGTAAATCCCATGGGGAAGCCAGAAACCACCCCTCTCCCACAAGACTGCAGTTACTTCAGCCTGTGATAACCATTCAGAAGTGGGCTAATTCGTTTCTTTATCAGATAAAGGCAGCTAATTTTCTTTGACAATAGTCCAGAGCAGAATATTAGGGTCTGATTTGGATGGTCTAATAATAACATCTTTGCCCAAAAGTGCTGGTACTCCAGAATACCCTTCTAGAAAAAATAATTATGGTTAGAAATAAGATTTACTATTTTCATAACATGAAAAGCAACATGTAACTTCATAATTAATGCAACTTGATGAGCACAGACAACACATCCAGATAGCTCTTGACAGTTTTGCAGCTGTACTGGTCTTGTTATTTTAAGTTCACTTCCTTGGGAGAAATATGGTTTCTTGCATAGGCATGCAGACAGTAACAAAATCCCTCTGTAAACATTCAGAGTCAAAGGTGCACAAGTCCCACAAGTGTATCATTCTATTTTTGCTGGAAAAGTAGTAGTGCCACGTTGAGCCCAACAACAGAGTGAAGGATTCAGCTACCTGTGTATGTTTGCATTCTAAACAATAACACTCCAGACCAACAAATAGTAGCATCTCCAGAGTACCAAAGAAAGGGTAGGCTAAAAATTGGAGGGGAAAAAACCAAAACAAAGAAAAAACAAAAAAAAACCCCCAAACTTCTTTTCATTCTATAGTATTTACCATTGAACAATATTTCTGTACTCTGAAAGCAAGTTTTTGAGAGAGTCATTTCTGTTCAAAATACGGAAAAGTCAACAATCAGGAGATAAAACTAGCATGTCAAAATTGCCACAGCTGTGTCAAACCTTAACAAACTGAAAATTCACATCTGTTGCCAACATCTCTCTGATTGCAATAATACACATTCGCTGGTTTCCAGAGAATAGTCATATGAATGTTGGTCAGCTTCAGGAGGACACATAATTCTCCTGTTTACAGGTGGTTAATCACTTAAGGTTTCATTCCAAAAAGACAACTTTGAGAGTATTAAATCTTCTCAAAGTCCATAAATATTGAGGAGCCTTCCAAGACAGTCTTTGGATGGCAGTAGAAGGACAAAAACCTACCAGGAGTTCATATGTTCGATTTTAGTCCTTATTGCCCCTCCATGCTGCTCCTAGAACAACGTCATGGCTACCTTCACTAGAAAGTTAGTCTTCTAGGGAAGTTTCTGCAATCTGGGAACCTCCTCCCATACCTACCTCTTCTTTCTTTCTTTTTTTTTTTTTTTAAAGTCCTTGGTTTGTAAATGTAGGCAGGCTGATTGGAATGTCAGTGTTTCACTCCCCCTACACCAAACCTAAGCAGTTCATTGAGCAGAGTTAGCACAATGGGATAACACCAAGTTATATTAAATTTAGTATGAGGAGTTTGCTACCTTCTGACATACTGTAAATAGTTGTAGAATTCCTTGCTCAGCTTTATCAATATCTTTCAGACATAAGTAATTACTTCTTTTCATGGATTACTTGTTTCTTCAGTGGTGCACTAGAAGCTGTACAATATCTTGTCTACTAAATCTCACGCCAAACCATTTATTTTATCTTAGATACTGTGGATTTGATTCAACTACAGCTTGGAGATTTATCATACTAAAGTTAAATCCATAAACTTAAAAACTATAAAAAAGCTTCATGATCAGCCTGGTTCCAAAGCACTCTTGTCCACATAGATCCTCTAATGTCTAGTATGGGCTGAGTTTATTAGCCCCTCCATCAGTGAGAATACTGATAGGAATTTGTCCTTCCAACCAGCTGCCTATTTTCATTAAAATTAAAGGGATGAAAAGTTCTGATGGGAAAAGCAACTGACTGAAGAAACATGCAAAGCTATGAGAGGGGATAGAAAGAGAGAGCATGACCATAGAAGTCTCATCTCTCTTGGGAATTGCAATTATCCAAAATCTTTTCACTGGAAGTTGAACAGTTAGTGAAGAAATCTAATTCACCTTACACATATTTACTATAACTTCATGTTAGCATTGATGGATTGCTTCCAGAGTCATTGTGCATTTTGGATGTATCTCCTGTTCATATTCTACCACTCACCTCTTTACATGTATGAGTGGGTCCCTTGAGGCTTTGTATTGATAAAATTTCTGAGTATTTTACTAGGTAAAAGTTATTCCATAGTCCACAAAATAAAACTGCTAAAGAGTGATTATTCTTGTCTGAGCAGAAGAAAAGACCTTGTTATGAATATCAAAAGTTATAAATTAATACTTACCATCACTTCTGTGTCAATTTGGTAGCTTTTTTAAACTACTACTAGGAGACTTTAAGGAGGTCTTCTTAGATAGATAGAAGCATCCACATTTCTAAACATGGGGGTTTTTAATATAAAAGAAAAACAAAAAACAAAAAACCCACAAAACCACTGTTCTTATTTCCGTATCTATTTACCAACTTACACATACTGAAAAACACATTTCCCTGACAGAACACCAGAGCTACCTGAAGTATTGAATTAATCCCTTTCCTTGGGAACAGAAGCTTTATGATCTGAACCTATGCTGGTACTCAAACCTTTTGGCAGTGGTGCCTATTAATCAGGAGTATGTCTACACTCATGCAATATCAGTTGCAGCATTCGGATGCAGTGCAAGAACTTTGTAATTCAGACCTTCTAGATAAAATTATACCGAAGCTATCTACCTAGATATCAGTTCCAGAATTAACTTCTTAGATACCTTACTATTTGAAATTGATAG